GAGAAATTTGGAACGGGCATGGTGTTTATTTCGGGAAAAACACCCTGGCACTGCCTGCATGAAGAAAATAAAAAAAAGGGCTGAAGGCAAACCCACCGAGGAGTGGCATGTACCGGCCAAACGTTCTAGAACTGGGGCCAAGGTATGAATGAACGAACTGGTTGCATGGCTGACAGCATAATGACAAGCAGTTCGAAAATTCCCGGAGAACAAACAAGTCAGGAGATGGCCGGGTGAAAGGACGTCCAGCTCTCGCTTCCTTTTTTTCTTCCTTGGTCTGGGGTATCTGGCAAGTTAACCAATGGACATGCAATTCAAGGATTGATTGAACATTGCATTGAATTGGATTACAATGAGTAATCCTTTGACTTCCTTGGTTGCGACCAATAACTAGCAGGAAATAGGTGGTAACTATGTAATGTGGCCATCGAGAGATTCTTGTTAACACACAGGCTGAAGAAGAATCACCACATCCCTCAATGATTGGATATTAGGGTCCCTAATATGGCTGAACCATTATGGATAGCAGCATTTTATTCTCAAGATGTGTTTCTTTGCCATTTCTGCTGGGTGATTGGTGGCCCAGTCACTCAGCCACGATCAGATTGCCTGCCAAAATAGTTATATTCATCCCAACCGGGCTGAGTGCTAGGTGGAGCAGACTCTCGCCTTATATCGATGTCGTCACGCCCTTTGGGAAATCACCTTGTAATAAATGGCGAAATGGTGTGCATCTGATCCCAGCTCTCGCCGTTTCAAAGTACCGAGCAGCAGGTAGATGGCTAGATTCAGGGGTTGATTGATCATTCATCAACCATCCTAGAAAAACGGACTAAAAGGGGGAAAAAAAAAAATAAAAATAAAAAAAATAATAATAATATAAAAAAAAAAAAAAGGAAAGAGGAAGACGAACTAGAACTGAGAGGTCAGCTTCCCATGCCCCAAAGCCTCCGTTCTCCATCGCTAACGCTGTAACGAAGTGATAGTGCGGCTTCGGGGGAGGCATCCGGGTGGCGAACGCTCAAAGACGGATGTGATATGACGTCTTCCGCCTTCTTAGCCGAGAAAACGGAGGTGGAAGCAGTTTTCCACAGCTAAAAGTTACTAGGCTCGAGCATGGGGCTGACCTGACGAGTTTATGTGGCTTGCTTCAAAAAGTCACATCCTTCGTTCGGCGTTAAGCACGGCTGGACGTGAAGCAACTGGTGGGAAAGGAGGGAGCCCCAAAAATTCGAGAAACCGAGGGAACGGAAAACACAGATCCTAGTGCGATCTAAGGGTTGAAAGAAGGGGAAAATGGAGGGTGTAAGCCAACTGCCTTATCCTTGTTATTCGCTTACCATTGGACGTTGACTAGTTATTTGATATCACAACCAACTGTGGAGCTGGGATGAATCCGTGAATCCCCATAAACTCGTCCGCTGTCCCAAATTTATAATTTATAATTTTTATTTAGCTGACCTTTTCGAACTATTTACGTTGCTTCGTCTTACCCCGTGGGTATTACTAACACCGGGGCTTCAACTCATTCGCCCCTTACAGCCTGAAAAAACAAAGAGAAACTGAATAATGGATTAATTGGCTTCAAGTTTGCGGGCAAAAAGCTCGGCCAACTAAAGAAAAGGCGAGGAAACACCCGGTCAAGAGCAAGGACCCAGTATAAACACCAATCAAAGGTGGAGTCTAGGGTCATCAAGAAGGGGGGAGTGGAAAGCCGTTTCCCCCGTGGGATCAAAGATTGACTGTGCTCGATGCTAGTCCCCTGGCGAACGGGTCAAGTGGTATCGAGTCTTGAATATCCCGTCAATCGGGGATATCCCATCATCGGACTTTGGTGGCACGGAAGAGTTCATTACTAATTCGAACTTGGGGATGTACTGTACAGGAGGGCTCAAGTGACTATCAGGACTTCAAAGTAAGACATGGACAGGGTCAGGAAGGTGATCACGGCCGAGCAATGAAACAAAACAGATACCAGGCCAGTTCCTGCCCCTGAACTTGCTGCTGTGTAGTTAGTGTTCTAGCTTCAGACCACAGGATAAGAATGATCCATATGATGGGCGTGATCAGGCGTGTATATCTCTGACGGCAACAGAAGCAGATCTCGTCCTGATTGCATCTTGCATCCGGACGGGGTATGCTGCTTTTCCGGTACTTGGCTTCTCTTAAAGGGCGCTGTTTAGTCAATAAAAAGTGCAATTGTAGCTTTCCCGTTTCCAACTTCTTTCTTGGGATGACATAGCTAGTTCCTATGGGGCGTTGAAGACACCGCTAGAGTATTTGGGATTGTGTAGATGTATGTGTATGACTAGAGGCATCGATATAATACACATGTAAACATGAGAGGGCTTGATGAAGTCTGTATGCTTGCTGACAGCGATGATTGGATGCCACTTTCCGCGTCCTCATGGAATTGTGCAACGTCCTCTTCCTTGTCTTCTGTCACCTTGTTGTTTCTGTATCTCTCTGGTCCCAATATGGAATAGGAAGAAGCTGATAACTCTGTTGCCAACTAACTGTATGTAGGTTCAAATGCCGGGTGACATCTGAAACTAGAACTTGATCGTTGTCCAGCTGGCCGAGGGAAGCATCGGGATCGAACCGAAAGTAGAAGTTGAATCAGATAAAACGTCCAATATGGAGGTTTCTGAGAGCCAAACATGACATGTAGAAAAGTACATTCATTGCATGAACGTATGTTTAATCCTCCACCAATTGGCTACATCCGGCGGAATGGTTTCACAGTGTTGAGCGCATATTCGCCTCTCGTGTACCCCCCCGTAGCAGGGAGTATAAGGGAAAGGTGTGGTTGACGTTTCCAATCAGCCATGCGTGAGTTCTTTTTGACGGTGTCACCGGCCGCCACCCACAGATTAAACCAGGACGACAACATGCAGGACATGCTAACCAAGGACCCTGGTTGGAAATTTTTAAACCAGTGTGATGGAATATGCTGGTACCTGCCTTGGCCCGGCAGATTTGATCAGGTTTAGCCGAGCATCAAAAGGAGGACGAACATCTGCATCTCCTAGGGTCAATCGCACATGCCCTCGTATCTCCTCAGTAATTCTGCACGTCATACGTGTGCAAGGAGACGTTGCATTCAGATTGTTGGCAGCAGTCAACTGTGGGCTTTAGTTTGACTAGCTTTCCAGCTTTCGAGAGAAGACCCGGAGGCCAGCTAAGGGAGACAATTTGTTTCCATGGTTGGATGAATGTTGGATGTGGTTGGCATAAATTCCTGTACGACATCGATTCCGCCATCACTGAAGCAACAGACATTCCAGGCCTAATCTAGTAGCTCTTCAGGCATTTGTTTTGCACGAGGTAAAGCCGCGGGCTCCTGGAAGCGAATGTGAGAAGTAAACGACGGTCAGAGATTTTGGACCCAGCGGAGGGGGTGGGATCGATCTCCCAGTTATTCCCGCCATCCACAATGCTGGTAGCTTCATGGTAAGCTGTCTCACTTCAAGACCCGGCTGCAGGGAACAGCTAAGAATCCTTCACCTTCAACATTCCCAACAAGTCCCAACAATAATAGAAATTATTAGTGCTGTTACCCTTAAGATACAGGTATGAAACTCGTGTTCAGCTGAAAGGGCACAAGCGAAAGAAAGGGGAATACATGGAGCATTATCATCAATAGCAAACTGAGATCCTGAACATATATATACCGATGTTATATACTCATACCTCGTACGTTCCTTGCTGACGGGACTGGTAATGTGATGAGTACCAAAGAGTAGGTCAATGTTGATGAATCCCACCCAGCTGGCTGGGTCCCAGCGCCCAATTAATTAATCTAATTTAATCAGATTCAATATTGATTTGATCCATGACAATAAGTGATGCACCTCAAAATTGAGAAAAGGCAAAGAAGGGAAGAAGAAAAGGGTCGGGCCAGGATGTAATTGGTTACCAATAAAAGCTGGCCTTCCCGGTCGGGCAATATGCATCCGTTGATGTGCGCTGGCAAGTTACTTACATGGGGAACCCATATTCACAGTGTAGGGGGTTGAGGTCTTTTTGACTCTCGGAAGAGGCATATATCTGGTTCCTTTGGGTGTGTTTCAGTAATGAAGTGCTCGGCTGAACTGTGTTTTAAGAAATCCCTTATAAGCAAGCCGGAGCTTTCGCGAGCAAAGAAAACGAATTGGGCAGTCAGATGGAATATTCAATGCACTGGCGGAAAAGCTAACATGAATTTACCTTTTTTGTAAATCGAATATACCCACACGCAGTGTCTCCCTTTCCCCCCTTTTCTCCCCCTTCCCCCAGCTTGCTTAAGCTCTAACCCATGACCACTCTCCACAACCAACCTTTTGACATGCCCGTTTTGTCACGAAAATAAAAAGAAAGAAGGGAAGAAGACTGGAGGAATGGCGCAGACTCCACCAGCAAGGCTTCTGGAGCATCCATGCATGATGTTCTGGATGGTCTGGAGATCCGTACTTCGTACTTGAGCTCAAGGGGAGATTTTGAGCGATCTAAGCGCACACCCAGTCAACGCAGAAGAGAGCTGCTGATCTGACCCTGTGTGATGAGGAAAGGCGCGGAGAATACTCCGTACAAAGCGATGTTAAACTGCATCTGGTAGTTGTTAGCATGATTGAATGGTATACGGGTGAGCTCCATAAAAACCCAGACATCGAGAGTATAAGCGCCAATGAGACGGGTAACTTCTCCACCGTGAGAAGGGCAGCCTCCATCAGACTATTTCTCTTATCCTCCGTATACGTATAAAAATATAAATATAGATTCTAATGGAGCAACTAGTCCCATGAGATACGAGGCGGTTAGGCTCTCCGTGATGACATACATTTGTCTAGAGCATGTATAACATCCACGCTGGCGTTGTTTTTGTGGAAGACATCGCACTCTGACTGGGACTACAGTCGAAACGATGTAACGTTCGGCTGTGGATCTTGTCGATCTCGATAACGGCTCCTTAAGCGAGGATCCAGCGCACGGCGATCGTGCAGGCATCAGCGCCACTGCAGGCATCCTGCTGTTGCCGTTCTCTTGCAGTGTTCGCCAACGAGATGTGCATTCTCGTGTGTTTGAGTTATGTGGAAATCGAGGAAGCCAAAGACGAAGATGAAGATGAAGGCGAAGACGAAGACGAGGAAGAAGAAAAGAAGAAGAAAAGAAGAAAAGAAGAAACGACGTCGAAAAAAGAAAAGGGCGCTTATCCCGATCGGGATATCGCCAAGCCATTAACCGCTTCGGGAATGATAATATTAGTCATGGACATGCTTAATAAGAGATTAGGTAACGTAACAGGGAGTCGTTGCGGAAAAACGCAGTACGGGAGTTATTATTGGAAGGTATTAAAACATCCACCATCCATTTGGACCTCAGGGCAACGGAGAGACAGCGGGAGCGAGGGCGACAGCGGCAATACTGGACAAAAGGAGGACGAGACGAAGGATGGGAAGGACCGGACTGCAGACTCTGACGGCCGACAGCGAATATGCAGCAGCAAGGAAGGCTCGTGAACCAAGAGCGTTCCAGTGACCCTTGTGCAGGAACACACCTCGGTGCCGAAAGCCCACAGAGCCATGTCCTGGGGACAGGAGCATTGAAACTGACGATATCCCTCAGGCTGGTGCGCCCGGCACAGGCCGAAATGGCACCAAGAAAAACGTTGCCGTTAGTCTAGGGCGGATGATGGTTCGGAGCTTAATATCGCCCATCATCCCCAGATGGCGGACCAACCACCGCCGCTACCATGCCGTTTATCGGGCGAGTCGCCAGCCCCAGAGATATACAACCTAGTCCTGGCGTATATAACGACCAGGCACCAGGGACCAGGTAGGAACGCAGTTCAGCAATGCAAAGAACACTGTAACGAGGTCGATCTTATCTCCTAGCCAGCGGGAAGGGAAAAGACTGAAAAAAAAAAAAAGCAGGAGGTCCATGCTATTAATCGACGTAAGTATACTTAAGTCCAAAAGAAGAAAAGAGAATTGCGGGATATTATGTACGTGCGTTCTTTGAAACTTCTTTTCGTCTTCCCTTTTCCCCGTCTGCCCCTGACCCTGTCTGCTATATCACTTATCATTATATACTGACTACTGATTCCAGAGGTATACGCTCCAGGAAAAGAGAGCTGCAAAAATTATTATAATAATATAATACTAAGCATGGCGTGGAATTGCTGTCGGTCACCCTCGTGTCTTGACGGCCAGACCAAGAATGCTTAACTTAAGATGTTTTAAGCAGTTTTAGTTGTGCACTATACATCGCGGATGCCCACCCTGGCTATCCGATTATGGAGCCCCATTGGATCGAAACAGGAATGTCAGAACGACCAGCACAATAATATGCAAAAATAAAGCTCCATGATTCCGGGTTGAGATAGGCTATTGAAATGGGGAGCAGGTTAGTTGAAACATGACAAACAAACCTCCCGCATCCAATCAATAGCCTCGTCGCCTTCTCCAGTTGCGAGTTGCAAGTTGCAACGACACACAGGACAGGCCGGATGCAGGAGCTTAGACCTTTGGGGAACTCGACTCCGACCTCAGGTCTCCAACCCGTCTGCACAGCCCTTTCCGACTTTTCTTTTCTTTTCCTATATTAAATATTAACGTCTATTATTATTATCATTAATCAATTTCCACCCTTTCGCCCGTTCGACTTCTTCCATGGCATGGCCCGTCGAGATACGTGAATTACTCCATAGAAGAGCCACTCGTCGGCCTATGACTAAAAAGAACTAGTTGCTGGTTTCGCGAACTCGCGCCCCGATTCACCTTATTTGGCAGTATTGCCTGCCAAGGAATAGAGTTTCCTCAACGACCTTACTGTTGATTACATGCATCTTGTGTCAGTCGCTTGGCTTTGGAGATCTGAGCATCGCAAAATTTCAATCCTGTCCGGCAACTGTCGTTGTGCCGTTGTACACTTCAGCATCCGCGGTCCCCCCCCCCCCCCCCCACCCTCCATATTCACGAGCAGAGACAGGACCAGATCAATTATTTTAACGTTTCCAGTCGAGTCGAGTTGTGAATGCCGCCTACGCCCGCGAAGGTTGAGCGTTCGTTGAAATATCTCGTTTGAGGAGGTCATTATGTTATGAATATGCAGGGGGCAAGAAGGAGCAGGTTCTGGGGCGCATAATGCATGCTAATATCCATTCGTGATATTGTTTATTTGTCAAAATATGCATTTCTCCTCGAACATCTTTGTCCTCGTGGCCATGCATGACGCTGACAGAGACCCAGTTTTCGGCTTTTATCTCGATACAGGCTCCTTTTTGTTTTTGTTTTTTTCCCGCATTCCAGACTTCAGCACTCCGTATACGTCGCGGGTATAGATGTCAGCCTTGCCAGGTGAATACTGCAGATGCAGAATGGGCTCTCTCTTCACTTTTGCTGGCGTCCCCTGCGTCTGGTTTCTCTGTGGATTACTTATCGCGTTTGAAGTAAATTATTCAACGTCCCACTGCCATTGGCCCACAGGTCCGTTCCCCTATATTGTCGCTCTCATATGGAATGGCCAGGGCTCGAAACCAGTCTATTGGACAGGCTAGGTAAATCTACGGCCCGGAGAATGAAACGATTGTTACCGGCAGATTACTGGACCGAACCAACCCAGCCGACCACAGCTTCTTTTTTTTCTTACTTTTTTTTTTTTCTTTTCTTCTTTCCCTTTCTTTCTTTCTTTTTATTTTGACCTTCCTCCCTTGCCATATTTTCCCTTCTCCTGTATGTTGGCGGGAGTCCCAATCGGTTGGGAGCAGAACCAATACAGCCGTCTATTATCAGTAAGGGGTCAAGACATATAGGCCGACTCCGTGCTTATGGATTCTTTATTTCAACCGATACTAATTAAACGCGGGTTTAAGGTAAGATTAGTGCAACGGCCTGGAGAAAAGGAACTCCCCCCACTGGCTGGTCCTCGGCTGCTTTTCTCTGGCGCTGGGGAGTCGTTCAGGAGCAGGTCTGTTACACAGATGCCCCGTTCCATGCAAGCGTCTCCCATCATGTATACAGTACGGCCTCGGGCCTCTGGCATGCATGGAGTTTGCGCTGGCAGCCTGGTACTCGATACAAGCAAACTGTTACCTTTTACTACGGGGCGGTTAAAACGAATTTCCTAATTAGGACATTGAAGAGTCACTTGCGAGGAAGAAGCAAATATACAACGCTTTTTGCTTCTTTTTCTGCTTGTCAAACTGGCTCTGTCGCTCCTCTCTCTGTACTTTTTTGTTTTTATTTTAATCTTTCTATCTTTTTATGGTTATTCCTTTTTTTTTTTTTTTTTTTCAGTCTTTTTTGTCTTTTTTTTATTTTTATTTATTTATTTTTTTTTTTTGGCCTGCTGTAAGAAGTTACCTGTACCCCCGTACATGGACATACGGAGCACATACGACTTACACACGCCCAAAGGAGGAACGTGTTTAGCCCACAGACGGGTGAGCAAACGGCTGAGCTGCGATCGCGACAAATAGCCTGTGTTGTTTGAGCAGGAGCAGGCGTTTCAGCGCTTCCTCACGCCTATGTTACAGACAGGCGAGCGGTTCGGCAGAGGTGGTCCCCCCTATCCGGTTGCCGGTAACTCACCCTACAGCACAAGCAAAGCTCCATGCTTTCTTCCAGTTACCGCTGCGACGGAGTTCGCGGCGGAAGAGCGCAATGTTGTGCATTGTTTGGAATAATTGGTGTCCCGTCAGGACGTCTCTCTTCCCATACCCTGTTACCAAATACCTGGACTCTGGACTATGGGAACCAGGCCGTACAACAGAACCAAGGCTGCAGTGACGCCAACAAATGATTGACAGGACAGCTATGACTATATCAAAAAAGTACGCTCTACCAAACGTTCGTGGACGCACTGCCCACGCCTTACTGATGCCGACTAAACGAGTTTTCGCCCATGGGGGATGGCGTATGAACGGGCGTTGGAAGCGCCACAAGCCAGATTCCAGAGCCAGAAAAAAGCCAGCGAAAGGGTGAGTGAGAGAGCCAATGCCAAAAAGCAATGTTTTTGTTCTGATGCTGCTGCTTTTTCGATTTTTTTTTTTTTTTTTCTTTTCTTAATTCACCAACGAAAACCCTATCCGTCGGAGCGTCCGATGAAAGAAAATTCGAACTATTTGATTCAGACTACTGGTCCTTTCACGCTGTCTTCCCCAAGCATGCAACGACCGGCGCCAGAGTCAGCGCCATTCGCGCGCTCGCGGGGGTGATTGAGGGTTATGGGAAACAGAGCGAGGTTGATCGTCTCGTGCTTCCAGGCCCATCCCCTTTCGCTTAGATGGCGAAAAAAAAAGAGGCGTCCATTGTGCTGCTGACGGGCGCGGAGATGGTTACCCTTTCATACATAGTATGGAAAGGCTAAGTGCAAATGCAGTAAGATTGGATGACTGATAGTTGTTCGAGTAAACAGGAAACAGGACTAAGTGAAATGTTGCATGATTGTTGTCACTGCCCGCTTTCAGCCCATGATATATCGATATCAATGCCTATCTTATCCCCTAGGTCACTTTGATGTAACGATGATTAGAAGGAACCGAAAAAAATGAATGCTTTTTCTTCGGAGAATTTGGTCATATTCGTCCTTGCGGGTTTTTCCCCCCCCCTTTACCTCTCCTTTTTTTCCTTTTCCCTTGCGTCTCCTTTCTTCTGGCTCGCAATCTCGTATTATCGTTGATCCCCACTAGAGCGTTCTGCCTGACGCCCCCCGGGGATGGACGATATGCATGGAGTATATCGATCTCTGGCCGTCCTGTCTGCCTGCCTGTCCTGTGTGTCTGCATGATGTCAGCCCGCCCAGCTTCGCTTAGGAGGGAATTTTGCCTCTCTTTCTTGTCTTTATTGACATTTACCACTAGACGATGGCTGAAGAGAACCGAGGATCAATGTTCCCATCTTTCGCAATATCACAAGTAGAGAAGGAAGTAGAGCTTAACGGCTTTCCCTCACGGTACTCTCCTCCACTCCTTCTGGTTCGTTATGCACACTCCGTACTCTGTACATGATGCCTTTTTGCACGCCCTTTTGTATTTTTGTAAAATATTTCGAATCTGATGGCTGAATTCCTTTTGCTCAGATCTGGTCTTTCTTGTTTCTTTCTTTCTTTCTTTTTTTCCTAGATTCCTTTTTCTTTTCTGCTATTCTTCGTCTTCGCCTTGAAGTTCGACTTCCACTGAAATATAATACCCTACCTTGTCAATCATCTTCAGAGCCATGGTGTATCTTGACAGGGTTCTACCCGGAGAGCAGCATCGACAAGGAAAAAGATAGACCCTTTCCCCCCCTGAATTCCGTAAAAAGTAATGGCCCGGCAGAAAGAGAATGTATGCTCTGCGTATCTATCAGATTCATCCCGTCTTTAACGGACGATGCTCAGTCGTGCATGCATGGATTCACATTCATACATGATTCCATCTCTGCCTTGAAGGGACCAAACACTCCAACCTGTGGCGCACCCTCCGTGAGATGGATAAACGTCCGTTGAAATGGGATGATCGGAAGTAAAAAGAAAAGCGAAGAGACAACACATGCGCCCAACGACTTTCTGTAACGGGGGAAACCTGGGGGCGATGCCTGAGCCCCGTCTGTATCGCCATCTGGAAACGGGATATATCACGGTTTCTCGGCTGGGGTTTTCTGGAAGGCCGGCTAGATAGAGAGATCGCTATGATGGGGCCCTCCAAGACGATTGAAACACTCGGGCGATCATCATGATGAACGATGAACGAAGATGAACGAAAAAACGAAGAGCGGCGGACGGAGGACGGCCCTGGATAAGCTTAGGTTGGTCGACGGTGGACGCTGGTCCAGTTGGTTCAGCAGTCCGTTCCTGCGCTTCTGCCTTGCCTTGCCAGCCGGGATGAAACGCTGGCGGGCTAGTCTGGTCGAGACGGCGGACAACGCCTGCCTGGACACTCACTGACAAGCAACTAAGCAAGTAAGCTCAAGGGCCTGCTCGGCGTGGCCAACGAAGGGGGGGTGGAGGAGGAGGAGGAGCAAAAAGGCGTTGCATCTGGCAGTTGTTGTCACCCCCTTTTTTGGTTTTTGATAGAGCCCGCCTCCGTCTTGAGATACGCAGGCCAACCAGCACTTCTTGCTACATGACTCTATGACTCTATCAGAAAGTCTCTTGCAAGGCTGGACGACGAGAAGCAAGCCTTTGGCAAGGAGATGCTCCGAGCCCGATAGAGTTGAAGCCGTTGACTGAGCTTCTTTTCGTTTCTTTTTTCGCTGCTCCTTGCTTGCTTTTTAGCTGCCGTATTTGCTTCTTCCTGCGTCGTCCTGCGTCGACTGTTGCTCGGTACTTTCTGGCCCAGAAGACGCCAGCGTCCATCAGCAGCAGCACGAGAGACAGCATGTGAAATGCGAGGGCGCTGGCCAGCTTGCGGGCTCGCTGGTTGAGCCAGGGCATGCAACTAGTTATCAGACATGCTTCAGACATGCTGCTGCTCGACGTCTCCGTCCAGGCATCCAGGGCCTGGATATCCCCCGACTGTATGTCCTTGCACGGCTAATATTACGTCCATTGTTTTCGTGCAACGCCTGCTCGTCTGTCCTTGCTCGATGCCGGCCATGGGGGGAGGAGGTCCAGGGGGATGGGTTGGGTTTGGACCCTGGCTGCTGCGGTTTCTGATAACTGTTATAACTGTCGTCCCTGGCATCAGATATCAACATCCAACGCAGCTATAATAATATTGTTAGCTATGCAGCTTCCAAGGACCCTGAACTAGTATGCCGTAGTAAGTATGGGTTATAGCATCCCTGGCCTGGGATGATGGACAGAGGCAGAAGATGAAGAGCTAAAGACCGGGATGAGCCCGAACTGCTCGTTGCTTTTCTCCATTATTCGCATCCTGTCTGGCTGCTGCTTGCTTCTTCTTGCCGCTACTGCTCGCTCAAACTACGGCTACGGAGTTATACACTCTTTACTGTTGCTCCAGCAAGTGCTTCGACTGCGCTTCTTTCGGCCTGCTTTCTTTTTCCCCTTGTCGTTCCTCGCTTCTGGGTCTCCGATGCCCTTGATTGGCCCTGGCAGAGGGAGAAGGGGGGGTGGGAGGACAGCAGAGGAGCGGAAGGGTAGCAGACAAGCAGACAGAGGTGAACCTTCGCGGCATCCAGCACATCCACATCGCAATCCTTACACCTGCTGGGCCCTGGGCTGGTGGGCCGGGTCTTACTTATATCTGGAGAACGCTTTGCAAATATCCCGGCCAAACCATCATCATTTGCAAAAAAAGAAAGACGAAGAAGAAGAAGAAGCAGGAAAAAGCAAGGAATAACTCTCCACTGCTGATCGTTTCCAAGCCTTAAAAAGCTCCCTGTAAGTAAAACTGTCCCTGCACCTTGGCCTGAGAGGCGGAAGAGCATCATACTTAGCAGTATCCATAGGGTGATGATAGTATGACACTATTACCCTTGGGCTTTACACGCTCCATAAGTTTACATGCTTCCTTGCGTGTACGTTACTTATGTGTGTATCCCCACGATCTGGAATACCTGCCACACACTTGCTGCTGGATACCCATAAAAGAGGAAGGGGAAAAAAAAGAAAGAAAACCAGCCATCGAGGTATACATCATTATATTTTCCCTCGCCCTTGGATGGCCCTTCTTTGCTTTTTCTTTACCTCCTGTTTTTGCATTTCTAGTGCCCATGCTACATAACTATCTTGCAAAAATCGGCTCTGAAGAGTGGCTCGTGAGTAAGTATACTTACGCTCTCCCCTTCGTTGCCCCCCCCCCCCCCCCAATTTGGGGCGTGTCCCTTTTTTATATCACCCCCAAACTGACAGAACTCCCCCTTCTCAGCCTCGATATTATACGCCCTCACTCTCGTTCGAACGTCTTCGTTTCTTTTTTTTTTTTTTTTTTTTGGCTTGTCTCGTCTTGCTCCTTGTCAGGAAGCCCACTCTGAACAAGCAAGCCAGGGCAGTGACGGAGTAACTACATGATCAGGATTTCCTCTTCGTCTCCCTCGCCTTTACTTTTTCCTTTCTGACCTTGACCTGCATCTGCCATCGTGCTGTGGTATCACCGTACTATCCCTTTCACCACTACCACGGCCGAACCACGCATTGGTCCCTTCGCAAGGTCGCCTGGGCCCTGACTGCATTGCAACACCTCGGATATTTGGTTGATCTACCTGCAGGAACTGTGTAAGTGCGTATCTTCGGTAGAGATGTCTCCGCCCGCTGCCTCGTTTCTTCGTCTTCCCTCTCTCCATTTCCAAATTCTCGTGCACACCCGTTTACCTTGCTTCATTGCCTTCTTGTCCTGTCAACTATTGCCATTCTCCATGGCCCTCTTCCCTTTTTCTTGCAAAATAATTGAAAAATTAAGAAAGATTACAACCATATTTGCTGCCCTTTTTTTTTTTTTTTCATTTTTTTCATTTTGCAACAACCCATGTCTGCTTCCGCTTTGACTCCTTTAGGCCTGGTATACCCCTGCCCTTACATAAACCGTTCTCCATCTGATACTGACATATATATTTTCCATTAGATATTAAGTGTATGTATATATGTTTTATGTTGTATGCATACCTACTTGCCCCCTTCCCTTCACCCTTCCCCCCCGGATCATCCATATCCGACCCCTGGCGTGCTCGAGAACCCCCATCGGACCTGACGATCTCAGATCTCAGTTGTCAAGGTACGCTTAAAATGCCTCCATGGACAAAACCTGCCTTGAGAGCTGGTTAGACTCTTCCTGTTTTTATTTGCATTTTTGATCTACTTTCCCGATTGGATATTTTTCTTTTGCAAAGCGTCTCTTCCACTCGGTCTGCTTGCTTTCTTTTTCTTCTTCTTCTGCTTCTTCTTCTCTCTCTCTCTTTTCTTTTGCTGGCCCTCTTCCCGGCTTGCTTTTTTTTTTTTTCCCTCCTGCTTCTTCCCTTGGCCTCTGCCTCTCTGTATCCCTCTCTCTGGTCGTTCCTCTCCCAGAGTATGATTCCCTGTTCTTATGCATGGCCACTTTCTTTTCTTTTTCCCCCTTTCACGGTGTCCCTTTGCTAATATTTATAAACACAGGTCTCAACTGAGTATTTACTTACATACGCAAGTATATATATCTACATCGGTCTATGAACTGTTCCATATGCAACTAGTCCTGTGTGTCTCCCCCAAGTCACCTCCTCCCCAGACACCTTGATACTTAAGTATAGCAACACTTCCGTCCACCGCACCCACCTACGGGCTTCTCCATCAGAAGACCAGGGGGGAATTAAGGTGTTAATTCCCACTCTTCCTCTCTTCTGCTTCTCCCCTACCCGCCAACTTGCTTTTTCCTGCTTGCTCTTCTTCTCCCTTTTTTTTTCAAATCAAAGAAAAGAAAAGAAAAGAAAAATACCAAACTCTCTGCTACCTATCTGCCTCCTTGCTTTTTCCTCTGCTCCATCCTGACCTTTTCTCCCTCGACTTTTCGATCCATATTCTTTGCTTTTCCATGACTTGCTCATGACTTTTCCAACTCTTTACGGCTCTTAAATTAATCACAATCTTGATTTAGGCAAGATCCGTTGACGCTTGAAGTTTAAGACTCGACTTTTATTCCCGGCTTCAGCGGACCTTATTTCCTCTGCTTACTTGCTTTGCTAGTTTATCTTATCTCTCTCCCTCTCTCTCTCTTATCCCTTGACTCGCTCGTCTTATTTCCAACTCCCGGGTCCAGCTACTTCGTTTCCGTCTCTTCACACCCACTACATATACCCTCCACCCCCCTCCAACAACCCCCTTTTCCCTTCCGGAACATCACACCTGAGGGTCACCTCCCCCGTATATACACATAACATACATGAACAACATACCACCGTCGATCGACCTTTGATATCCCTTCCTTTGCACCGTTGGTGGTCAATCATCCGTCACTCGTTCCTGTCTTCACCCGCTCTGGCGCACGCGGGAAAGGAAGACAAAATACATACAACCAAGGAAAACATACACATATATACATACAAACACCACATACACACAAACACACACATACACATAAACATCCGTGAATACCTCTACTTTCATCATGCCTCAGAGCCAACGAAGAGGACCCTGGGTCCCAGAGGAGGACCAAACATTGCTGCAGCTAGTCAGCAGTCAAGGACCAAATAACTGGGTCCGCATCTCACAGCATATGAAATACCGGTCACCAAAGCAGTGCAGAGAACGATTCCACCAGAACCTGAAACCAACATTGAACCACGACCCCATCTCGGCCGAAGAAGGGCTGATAATCGAACGACTTGTGAGCGAGATGGGCAAGCGGTGGGCAGAAATCGCCAGGAGACTCGGCAACAGAAGCGACAATGCCGTCAAGAACTGGTGGAACGGAAGCGTGAACCGAAAGCGTAGGGGCATGGCTGCTGGCGGTGGTGCTTCCTCGCACTCGCCTGCTTCGTCTTCGTCTCCTTCCAGGACCCCCAACGGACGGGTTGAACCGCCGTACCAGAAAGCATCATCCAGATCCCCGCAGACGCAGTACAGATGCCCACGGGCCGAACACGCAATGTACAGCCAGGCCTCGCACATGGATAGACAACGATCCTGGACTTCCATCTCGGACTATCAATCATCACAACACCAGCACCAGCAGCACCAGCAAGATGAAAGAGGCGAATACCTGCACCAGCGAATTCACTCACCCCGTCCGCTCGAGTACCGTTCATCACTATACGACCTGCCCAAGGAGACCCTGAACAGTGCAAGATGGCAGCAGTGCAACTCACAGCCGCAGTCACCAGCCGCCGGACGGCGAGTCCTGACCCCAATTTTCACCACACGCAACTCAAACCAGGCAACAGAATCGGCTATGACCTCTCCTGCATTCTCAGAGATGTCTCATGCTCCCTCACTCGGGGGGCCTCCTTCCATGGTGTCGGACCATAACTCAGTCGCCTCCGCCTCGCCCAAGACAGTCACCTCTCCTTCTGCCCTGGCAACTCCAGTTGAAATCCACCACAGCCACCACCGGTCTTCCTCATCCGCCTCTTCATACGACGAAAGACGGCGAGGCAGTGCCCCGTTAATTTCGTCTTTCGCCAAACCACATCATTCAAGCGACAACCTCCTCTACCAGCCTCATCCTATGCAATCCTCCTTGCGGCACCACCAGCACTCCATATCAGCTCCGCATAACCAGCTACCACCAATTTCGGATCTCGAAAAACCTGCTTCTTCTTGTTCTACTTCTCGTGATTCTCGGATGGGTCTCCAAGCATTGCTCAATTAAGGCATTTTTTTTCTCCTTTTTCTCCCTTTCCCCCCCTCCCCCTTCTCGTCTACTTTATATCTGGGTTAATGGTGGTTGTTGGTAATGGATCGAAAACATCATGTACTACGGTCGGTGACCAGTCCGATTGAAGTACTTTTCTTTTCTTTTCTTCTTCTACTTTTCTCACACACTCACATATTCATCTTTTCCTTCCTACGTTAACATTCTTATTCTTACCGGCGTTTCGGCTACTGGGTTGGGAAGGGATCTGGAAGGTGCTGCATTTCCAAAAAGGCTGGGCTGAAGATAACAACAACCAAAAGGGAAACCCGACTAGGAAAAGCCAAACAGGAGAGCCCAGAGCGTGGGGAGAAGCAAAGAAGAAAAGCAACATATGCTTCTCGTTTTTCTGCTTGCTTTGAGTCCGTGGTACTCCTGCTTTGCTTTCTCTCTCTCTCTCTCTCTTGTTCCCTCTTCTCTATATTTCCTTTTTCGATTCTGTTTTCGCCTTTTGGTGCTTAATTCTTCTTGCCTATTGTATATGTCTTTTACCTGCTCTGGTATAAAGTTAACTGTTTGACTTGTATTATACACACACACACTTATATATATATTTATGCTAGCTAGTTGGTTACATAGCTACACAGAAAACCCCACAAACAGGCCATTCACTGTCGAGCTTGCTTTATGCTTGATGGTAGTGGAAAAAGGGGGGAAAGGAAATAAATACGGAGTACTATCTGAACATTAAGGGTTGGTTTACCTTGAGCAGTCTCTCAGAGAGCAGAATGAAACAAAAGGAAGTTTTCTCTACAATTGATGTACTGCTGCACTCTTCGTCTTCCACCATCTATCACTGGCTATCTCCGCGCCCCGTCCGCCTTGACCTTTCGAGGCCTTGTCTCTCACTGCCTCTCCATTATTCAAATCAAGCCTAGCGGCAGCGAGTGAGCGCTACGAGCTGCTTTTATGCAAGGCATAATTCGATCAGATCTTCCCTCAAGACGATGGCCATCAGGTCTGCCTGTGGGGGTTTGCTTTCGTCCACAGCTGCCATGTGAGTGTGCCACTGATACAGGCTCTGAGTGGGCATATGTATGTATCCATATCGAGGCCTTGGAGATGAGCCAGCCAGCAGGTCTGTTCGGGGGCGACATCTGTGCACCGGCTACCAGCCAGACCGAAAAAAAAAGGTTTTGGAAAAGAACAAAAGGGGATGGACGGAGAAAGGGTTCTCAGCCTATTGATCATTATGCCAACTTGCTTCACTGCAGCGTCGTACAAATGTCAAGAGTAAGCCATCCCGATTCCGCTCCCACATGGACGGAGATGGGACGCCTGAAGGGAGGGGAGGGATTGCCCTGTCGACAGGATATCTTGTCGGGTATGCACATATAGAGCGAATGCTAGTGGGTATCGCGAATTCGCGAAGCGCCTTGTTACCCCCTGGTTAGTTGTTTTTTTATCCCTCTCGTAAAGTAGTTAACCGTGCAGAACGACGAGACGCCAAAAAAACCAACAAGACAACCCGCATGCACGTATAGAAAGCTGCAGCAAGAGAGAAGCTGCGCCAGGCGTGACTCTGTCTCGGCCGCTAATTTGGGCTGGGAATCTCGTACCACCACACGTCGGCATGACCGGTAATCAGGTATGTTGACCGAGCTTTTTGGTGGCCTTGGTACTATTAGAGTACATCCCTTGGTCCGCCTGGATGGCTAGTGAGGGCCCTGTGCTTTTTCTTCCCTCTCCCTCCCGTCCCTTAACTAGTTGCTAGTAGTGACTAGCGGCCTGGTCCCTTGCGGGGGATAAGGGTGGCTATCCCGTGGTACATGGAGTACATGCGCGAGCCTCGAGTTGGCAACTATGGTAGCGATGGTAGCAGTCGTAGCAGCACGAGCAGTAGCCGGAGTCACAGTAGCAGGAATGGCCCTGCAACTTCGTATATTCATGGGGCCGTTCCCCCGTGTCTCCATCGGCGTTTCTTGCAGCCTATAATCAACCTTGAAACAAAGGAGGACCAGTATAGCCGACCAGGCAGTGACTTCGCCACAGGACCAAGCAGAAGCAAAGCTGGACGGACGAGCAGCAGCAGGAAGAAGAAACGAAGGAAGAGAATACGCACAGTCGCCAGGAGTGAGTTCGAACGTACGTACGTTACATCGACGTAAAGCAAAGATGGGCGAGGCGGCGAGCATCTCGATGATCCAAGAGCGAACGCTTGATCCTTTCCTCGTCTCTCTCTCCCTTTCTCTCCCTCGTTCTCATTCCCCCACCCGTTTGCCTTTTTCTTTTCTTTTCCGTGGGATGATGCAGTCGGTATAGACATGTATATGCATCCTTGACATTCAACGTGATTCAGACATAGTCTGGCCCTGGGTGGGAAAAGGGATAACACGGAGAAAATGTACTCCGTATACATGAACAACTCGATGCATCGACGTATAGGCGCAACCCTCACGCTCTTCTGCATATGCCGGCATTTCTTTTCTTTTCTTCTTTGCCCTTCTCCCTTCGTTTCTTTTCCTTGAGTAATATAGCTCGTTCCCTCTATCCCTCTCTTGCTCCCCAGCCTGGCCTGACGAGAGAATTTGTCATGGGCATGGCTAATAATATGGAAATGCATATCGAACGGGACGTGCGCAGAAAAAGCAGCCCCTTTTTTGCTTTTTTGTATATCTGTCTGTCCATAGTAGTTAGTTAACCGTCCCGGACAGCCACGGGCTTTATCGTGTTTTTGTATTTCATCGGTTTTATTCCTCCGCTTCCTAGTTTCTCAACGGTTATTCCTGCGGTACGATACGACATGAGCTATCATATCCTCGGCAACGGTGCATCAAAGAGGCAGAAGCAAAGGGGGTGGTGGCTTGCATCCCGCTACTGCAAAAAAGACGCCTTATGTATATATATATTTGCTGAGGCGCGGAGAAGAAAGGAGATCGCACCATCCATCGCATCTTGCGGCGTCCACGCCTCCTGTCAAGATCTCGCAACAGAACGTGGGCATGGATTCGGTGGACGCAAGGCCGAAGATCATGGAGGCGTAGTTAGTGCGTTTCTTAAGAGACTTGCAAAATACAGCAATGGATACTTTGATAGTAGGAGTATCTAATGCCAGGACCAACCATTGAAGGCAAAAGTCAGGGTGTTTCTTTTCTTTTCTTCGTCTTCGTCTCCCTCTTCCTTCTGCTGCCTGGCCCAGGCATTTGCCGTTTTAGGGTGCATATCCTGCAGTATCAATTTGCAAGGCTTCCTCCCTGCCCTCCTCTGCTTCGGCAATCACCGCCTGGTAGCGAAGCCGCCGACAGTCGTTTGCCGTTACAACAGGCAAGCTAACGGGACAACGGCGGGGACACGCACGAGGCCCAATAGTCTGCTCGTTAACTGCTCCAGTCGCCGTTCAATGTCTCTAGAGACTCCATTTTGAGTGCGTCCTCGGGGACCCAACAGCTAACCGTCGTGCATTCGAGGGTATCATTGGACAGACAGCGCGACCTAGACTTCGTGTTAACGGATAGAGTGCGCAGAAGGTGACGGGCAAAGACCTACTAATCAGCCCCTACGGGGATCTGGGGAAAAGGGAGCAACGGCCGGGCCAAGCTGCACTCGGATGGCTCACTCTTGCAGCGCAGACGTTGGCCAGTCCTGCTCTTCCCCATGCCTGTCTGCCTTGATATACGTCCCTGAGGTTCGATATCGCTACTGGGCCCCTTGCTGGAGGATTTTCCTTCCCGGCGGCCCGAGATGGGGCTAGTTAGGTTCTTTCGAACCTCTGCAGCTGGGATATGCCTGTTTATTCAGACATATAGCATGCCCTGCTAAGGGGCAGACGCTGCCAGCAGGGCATGTCGGAAGAACGCTCCGAGCAAGGGAGCGTGTCCTAGCCTATGCTCGAACAGGCAAGTCAGTAGGCTCTTTGGCTCTCCTCGGTGGTGTCCTATATTTTATTGCATTCATCTTATATCCAAGTACATGTTTTTTTTTGCAGCTAGGGACCGAAGAAGGTTTTATACTATGCGCCGTGGCTGGTCAGGAGAGAAATATCCACGACTCATCGACGCGCTGCTTCTTATCCACTATTCTATTACAAATGGTAACATAATCCTCACAAATCCAGGACCAGGATGGGGGAGGCAAGTCCTCCGTTCGCCCCCCCACGAACGAGCGAGATGAGAGGGAAGGGAGTGGGAGAGGGAGCGATGGCATGGCCTGATGGGACGGGAGACGGACCGTCCTCTTACTTGTCCTCGAGAAGCGATTCCAGCTCTTTTCGTTCTCCACTCCCCTGGACCATACGCCAAAACACCCCATGAGCCTTCATCAAAGCCCCTGGCGAGTCGTATTCCACGGCTTCGCCCTCCTTCATGACCAGGATACGGTCAAAGTCGGCCACCGTGGTCAGACGATGGGCGACAACCAGCAGCGTCGAGTCTTGGAACTCCTCGCGTATGCTACGCTGGATCAGGGCGTCCGTCTTCATGTCGACGGCAGACGTCGCTTCGTCGAGAACCATGACCTTTGGGCGCGCGACAATTGCCCTAGCCAGGCAGAGCAGCTGTCGCTGTCCCTGTGAAAGACTCAGCCCACCCTCGCTAATGGCATAGTCGAGACTCGGCGTCCTGCTTCGGTCTTCTTCACCTTCTTCGTCACCGCTCTCCTCATCTGTCTCTCCGCTGAATATCTGGAAATGCACCCGCTTTAGGGCTGTCTGCAGCTGCTCATCGGTATACTCGTTGAAAGGGTCCAGATTTGAGCGTATCGTGCCCGAGAACAAGACCGGATCCTGGGGTATAATTGACAGCCGGCTTCTCAGATCGTGTAGTTTTATGGTGGAAATGTCTATGCCATCGATGTGAATCGTGCCACTTCGAAGCCCCAGAAGCCTGAACAGTGCGAGTGTTAAAGTTGACTTGCCAGAACCGTGCGCCCAACAATTCCGACACGATGGTTTGGCTCGACACTGAACGTAAGTCCGTTGAGAACCGGTGGCAGCTCTGGCGAGTAGGATGCTGTGATATTATCAACCTCTATTCGGCCTTTGCTTGGCCATCCTGCTGGCACTTCTTCTCCAGTATGGTCTTCAGTAACAACCTGTGAATATTCAATTATACGTTCAGTCGAGTTCATGTCCAGCTGTGTCTCGGTATACTTGTCAATTGCCGATCCAATTAGTTGGGCTCCGTCAAGCATGAAGTTGAGAGCAAATCCAACAAGCGAAGGTTCAATACCCTTCGTCGACATGAGAATGAATGTTAGACATGCACCGAATAGTGCATCGGCCATCCCGGTCCTGAACGCCATCCACTCATTGAAGAGAATGATATAGTAATGAGCAGATGTATGGTCATCGATATTTCGATACATCTTATCCATGTAGGTCTCTGCTTTGTCAAACGCCCTAATCGTGCCAATGCCTTGTAATGACGTACCAAATTGCTCAATAATAGGTGACCTAGCCTGGGATTTGATGCGTCGAAGCTCTCGTGCCGTTATCATGTATCGAATTGCAAAGTGTGCGCATACTCCAGACAGGACAATTGTAAGCATTAAGATGTATGAGGAGACGAGAATGCTATCAAGACATCGGTTAGAAGGATTATAGTGAATATAGATCAGAGGCTGAACTCACGCAGCAACAAGAATGGAGCACAGATCCAAGATATCGAGAAATAGGTAGGCAAGGTCGTCTCCGAGCTTTGAGTCAAACGTCGCGAAGTCAAGGGTGAACCTATTGATAACTCTGCCGACAGGCACAGTATCGACCCATCTCAACGGTGCTCGGAGAACTCGCGAAGTCATCTTTTCAAAGAGGTCTTTTGATGCTCGGATGGTCCCTGTCCATATGAAAAGATGACTGAATGACTTGATTAACGTCCGGCTCATGGCCAACGCAAAATAGATCCCCAGGTAGAACCAAAGCGCATCATCTGCTGGCTTGTTCATTGACATCACCGTTTGGTTTAGGAGGATTTGGGCTTTTTCTTTCGGTTTTGAGGACCCCGTCCAGATTTTCAACCACCAGGACTATAGAAAAATAAATATATCAGTAATAGCTTTGGATTGATCCTTGGAATATGGAACCTACCCTGCCTAGGCCCAGTGCTTGAGCACTGCATAAGCATATGGCAACAGCTACCCAAAAGACTGCGCCTCCGCTGCTCTTTAGATATTCCTTGTAAACTCCCCATTTGACTTGACCTATTTCACGTTCTTCCGCCTGTACAAAGGTGGTTGTTGGTTTCTCCCGATTGGAATCTTTTCTTGATGCCCAGGCCATGGTTGAATGGCTGCCCATGTTATCTCGGAAGGAGCTGCTTCTCCTGCGGAAGCTAAGTGGCGCAGGAGCTTCTGATTTGGTGACAGCTGATGCAGTGCTCCGAACTTTTGTAAGCGTGTTTGCGTCGTCTGTCTCGTCAGGGTGGCCAGCTTTTATCATAGCACCGTCTTCAAGCACAACCATATAACTTGTCTTAGGCATGCATAGGGCAACATGATGTGTCGCTAGGATCCGTGTCCTGCCTTGACCGAGCTCTCCGGTAAGTGCTTTCTCAAAGATGTGCCGGCCGACGTGGACGTCGACTGCACTGAAGATATCATCCTTGAGTCAGGGTTAGTTAACCATGTGTAACGGTACCGTGAAGCAAAGATAAGACTCACAAGAACGAGTATTCCGGCCCTTGAGTATAATGCTCTGGCAAGAGACACGCGCCACCGCTGACCACCACTCAAGTTGATACCACGGGGCCCAATTTCAGTCATGTCACCATCAATCAGAATATGGAGGTCATCAGTCAAAGCGCACACGTCAAGGATCTTTTTGTACCTCTCAGCACTGAAGGGGCATCCAAATATGATATTGTCTCTCAATGTTCCGTTCTCAATCCACGGTGACTGCGCGACAAAGGCTACCGAGGATGGAATAATCCAATTGTCCGGCGTTATGTCGTTATCCGGTGTATGGTAGACCGTAAAAGGGGGCATGGGAACGCTGATAGCGCCACACACCAGATCAGCCTCTCCAAATATAGAACCCAAAAGCAAGCTTTTGCCTGATCCGGTAGGACCGCAAACTAAGCTGAGTTCCTTATTAGGGAATGTTAAGTTGATATTTTCAAGGACGAATCGGTCTTCCAGGTTACAGGTGTCTGAAGGCCAGGCGATGGATGCATTTTGGTAGGTGATTGAGGACGAATCTTTGCGGTATTCCTCCTTGTTTGGAGAACTAAGGTAGCTTTCAAGACGGCTCAAACTCACCATGCCTTCGATTACCCCAGTAATAACTATGGGTATCATCGATAGCGAGTCCTCAAGCTCAAAGAAGACTTCCAGAGAGGCAAATGCAACGGAGGCGGTAAGTTTTCCTTCAAAGATAGCATACACGGCCAAAGCGACTGTAGTCATCATCGTTGGAACAGTACCCCAGCAGAAAATCATGCCCACATCTATTAGGGGGAAGAATTAACATTTATCCTAAGAGTTGAGGGGGTGCTGGGTCCCTAGTACTTACCGTACAAGCACGATCTCCATACTTCATTCATTTCATTCAATCGCACGCTCATAATTCTGCTTTGCCATTCTTTTTCTAAGGCTACAAATTTTATTTGACGAAGGCCATGGAGAGCCTCTGAAATCACCCCTGTTTTGATATCACGCGCTGACATGAGCCGGTCCTATTTATTATATCAGTTTCACTGCTTCCACTTGTTCTGGTATTGTAACCCCATTGAATGTGTACCTGTGTTCTAGAATAAGCCTTCGATAGCCAGGCATTTAATGGAGCCAGGATCGTAAAGATGAGCAATGCGGCCAGTAAACTCTTCCATCTAAAAATTGTCAGCCTGGGGATCAGAGATTTATGCATATGCTACTTACTTGATAAGCTTGAAAAGAACTACCAGAGAGAGGATGAATGTGCACGTAGAGAGTATAATCGTGCTCATAAAAGCAGCTGACAGACCGACCTCCTCACTACCGCCCTTGTTAGCAGGCCTTCTCCCACATAGCAAATTCACAAGAAAAAATTGTAGACCTACGCGTCGATGCCCATGAGGTTGATGATCCACTGTTGAGTACCCTTTTGCTCTGAGTCTTCTTTGTCAACTTCCTCTTCATCCTCGTCTTCATCTGCCGTTGAGCTTTCCGCGCCTCTGGTATCCTTTTTGAGCATTGCTTTCGCAAATACTGCTGCACAAAGCTGGGCTTCAATGCGCAGAGCAAGTTGAGAGTCGCCAACCCAGCGCATCCAGGTACCTGTCCAACATGACAAGATCAATCCAACGGCCAGTATCAAGGTCCAAATCCAGTTGTCAATTCCTATGTTCTCACCCTCCTGCTTCCGCTCGAGAGAATGGAGAATGAAGTACATGGAAACTTTTGGCACAAAGTCAAGTAGTGCCTCAGTGGCCGTCAGAATCCAGTGTTTGGCGAAGGTGATATAGTGCAAGCCAAAGATCTGCCGCCAGAGTGCCTGAGCCGGAGAACGTTCCGAAAATTTGGTCAACAGGTTCTCCGAACGTGTATAGTGGTCCATCCGAGGCAGTTCATGGACGTCGATGCTGGGGTTCTTAATGATGTACTTTACCAGATGGCCCGGCCAGGCAAAGGTGAACCGTGAGAGTGCAGACACGGTGTATTGGCGATCAACCACCTGGTCTTTGATAAACACATCCGGGCGCCTCGGCAGACAGAGACAGGCAAAGAGCAGACAAGCAGTGGCCACCAACGGAATGATCCAAATGGCCACTTGGAAGCTGGTCAGGTTGTCATAATGAGCCGGTGTCAGAAGCCGTACATCTAGGAAACCTGACATGATGAATTGAACCACTGAAGCAAGAGATGCATAGCTAGCTATTCGAAACTGGCTCGCGTATTCCTGCTTGAAGGAAAGTGCCATCACATGTGGTAGAAGCAATACCTATGGAGCGTGTCAGTAAGACGTGGAAAAAATCGGTAAATATAAAAATTGGGCAACAGATCATAAAAGGACAAGAAAGATGCATACAAAGGTTCCAAATTGAAACCAGCTCTCAACTTCGCTATAGCGGATTGAGCCCTGTGTCGTTGACATGATAGCTTTAACTGTCGACGCGACTAAGCCGACCAGAGACGCCGTGTAGATAACGGCCATCTGGATAGTAGTCGAGTAGGATGATATCGATTCTTCCGTGGCTTCTCCATCCTGGTCTTCCGGCAGTGACTCCAGGCTCGTGTATGATCCATGGCACAGCTTCTGGACGATGCTGTTGAACGCTGGCAAAGTAGCTAGAAGTATCAGTACTGCTGCAGCAATTCCGATGCCCACACCGACGGGATCGATGTTCGGCGACATCGTGAGCAGCTACGGGGACCCAAGTCAAGCTGCCTTGATCATGAGATAAAGGTAGAAAAATGCTTAACGGTCGTTGCGATGGCGAGAAGGGAAGCTCAGCTAGCTATGTACCAGCGAGAAGCGTGGTGGTTAAGTAGCTAGACTAGCAGTCGATGACGACACGGCGAAAGGAGGCAACTGGTTAGGCTGGACGAGGAAGCGCGCAAGAGCAGGAGAAAGTCGAAGCCAGCATGATCGACAAGACACGCAGCTAGTCAACTGTCTTTAAGAGCACGGCGTCCATCTAGATAGCAGCGTTCTGATGTTTTGTGATACAAACAAGCATTGGCAAGGATGAAGCTCCAGGCGAAACGCAAACCAGCAAACCAGCAAGCTGACTAGTTAATTAGTTAGTTAGTTAGTGAAGCTCGTCGGCTCACTGGCTTACGAGCTGGTCGACCGGCGGGATGTCCCGATTAGTTCTCCGCTGGGGGTCAAACACGGGACAAGAGCTGTCGTACATTGATGTGATTCAGCCAGTCCGTGGCCGGGCGGGATGGGGGAGTTCAGCTGAAGCGCATGCAATACGGACGCCATCACAACGACAGAGACGATGCAGGAGACTCTTCAGCCTCTGCAACCGGTGAGTCACTCGAAGCCACAGCTGAAGAAAAAAGAACGATGACTAGATACCTTGAGGCTCTGGCGATGACGGGGAGAAGAGTCAGAATGAGTGATGCTGCGGTTTCTTCCGGAAGGATGAAATAAAGACATCCACGCAGTTAACTAGTTAACTAGTTAATCAGGAAGCCCACATGGATGTGGCCAGGAAGACGCACCAGGGGAACACAGTCACTCGCATGAGAAAGCAAAGGCAATGCGAGATGTTAATATGGCTGTATAGTTACAGGGGAGCCTTCAACACCTAAGATATCTATTAGTTACCTTTGTTCCAAGGGTCCTTTCCGGTAACTAACTAGTCGATAACAATACGGCAAGTTACTCGGAGGATAAATACAAGGAAGCCGCCTATATGTAGTTATGTAGTAGATAGAAAAGGCGAGTCCTCATATTAGTAACTGCATAGAACTATAGTCGACAAAGGTACATGCACACACGGACTTGATGGAAAAGAGTCAAGGGTGTAGCTTGCATCCAACACAAGGAGCAGGCGGCAGAGTACTCTGGTAAACATCCGGCCGTTGCTTCCCCGAAACGTTCAGATAGCCAACAGCGCCTTTGTCCAAACGGAAGATTGCATGATCCACCAGGGTGTATGTTCCGGGGACAACCAGCTTCAGGTCCACTATGGTAGAGCCGCCTGGAGGAACACTGGTAGTGGGAACCCAGTTAGCAGGTGGACTGACCACGTCACCGTCGCGGTATAGCTTCGAGAATGTAGTGCCGATGACATGAAAGGCGCTGGTCAGGTTTGGGCCCGCATTCCCGAAGAATATGCGCACCGTCTCTCCGCTCTTCGCTTTTAAGGGCTGGTCTCGAGTCAACGCAGACTCGCTGCCATTGAAAACCACAAGGCTTGGGTTCTCCTCAAGTGCATTAGGGTACGAGAATTCCACGGTCGAGGAGCGTCTGCCGTTCTCCAACACTTCGGGGGGTTCGTGGTAGAACTCACTCTGCATCACATAGTACTCGCGGTCGACTGGGGGCAGGTCTCCGTCTTCTGGTTGTACATATATCAGCCCATACATACCGTTGGCAATGTGAACCGGGACTGGCGCTGCAGCATAATGATACACATAGAGGCCTGGATGCAACAATTTAAACAGCCCCGTCTTGCTCTCCTTCTCCTCAGCGGTTGTAAGTGCTGCACCTCCTCCTGGGCCCGTGAATGCATGACAATCGATGTTATGCGGGTTGCCCGTCACATCGTGGTTGGTCAGTGTTAGTTCCACTACATCGCCCACTCGAGCCCGTATAAATGGGCCAGGCACAGTGCCGTTGAAGGTCCATTGCTCATACTTGTACTGATTGGATAGTTGAGTCGTTTTCGTGCTTGTGGTTAACGGCACCTGGAGGAGTACCGGGTAATCCCTCGTAATTGGTGGTGGGACGTGCGGTGCAGCGGTGAAAACTGCTGTCTCTTTAGGAAGTTTGGAGTAATCAGCCGATGTCTCCGCGAAGAGATCGACACCGGTGTTGGATTTTATGGTAAATATCTCCCTTGATTTTTCTTTCCTATTCCTAGAAACAACAACTGAACCGACTGCGATGGTAGTGGCGATCCCTACCAGAATTGCAAGCGGAGTATGGTTTGCTTCGGAGACTCTTGAGCTCTTCGAGGTGTAGGTTGATACTCTCTGCAGCGGCAGTGAAACTGGCTTTTTTGGAATGACTGAGTAGCAACCGGCAGTGGGTAAGGTGGAGAGCTTAGCTCTCAAAGTTATTCTTCCCAAGGGCACCCGAAAGGGTAGGCATAATTGCTTCATGGGTACCATAGTTAAGAGTTATATAATCCGGGTGTCTTGTCGCGATATTTTGACTATATTAAAAAGATGAAGCAACCCAGCCATAGAGAGGCAAAGTCTTGAGGCTTTATACTATGGATGTGGGATAGTAGGAGCCCTCAGTATAAGTAAATCCATAGCCTTGAGGAGCCTATCGCTTGAGTATGCGGTCATAGTAGAAAGATCTGCGGTGTCATCGTCTCGTGAACTGGTTGCATTATTGCTGCGGATTTGGACTCAACGGTTGGAGGTAATACCAAATACTGGCCCTTGCACCTCGCTCGTGACCAAGGATATGTATGTGAGAATTTCTGCATATTCCACGTCTGACACGCGAGTTGATTCCTCATCCTCTAGCTCCTGATGTAGCGGTCCAATAGGGAGAGCAGGGTTTGCCGGCCTCTCGGGGTTAGAATACTCGAAACCGAGAGATCTGCGACACAGTGTAACAATTCTATACATCTTTAAAGAAGCTGGCGTCTCTCATGAGGTTTGGTCGTAAGTATATGTCGAGTCCGCACGGATAAACATTGCCGGTCATTGGCATCAGTGCTTAGGCCGTCTAAATGTTTCATGAGACTGCATTCCAACCGCATGATTTTGCAGCCTAGTACCCCAGGCTTGGAATAGCACAGTCTCGTTTAGAATCTAGACTCGCTCCGCGGCTTGGAGACAGTTAAGAAGGACTCTCTTGCATGCCGTATACCATATATACCATATATGGGTGTCTTTCTGCAGAAGCGGCTCAACGCCCAACCAAATTAACTTCCCCTCATATGGTGCAGGCTGGAATAAAAGCCGAACAAAGCCTAGGTACCTCAGTGCAAAGAACCAGAAGATGCCATAGAATCGTCATCGGCTGCTCGTATCCGAGAAGCACAACTGGGGTATCATGGTGTGCTTTTCGCGAGGACGACAACAGGCATCGTAATATGAACTAGTTGACTAGTTAGTTAATGCTGCATCAGTTGATCGTTAATCAACTAGTTAACTACTAGGATAGCTTTTAGAAATTTCGCGAGTAGTTATCGGGTGCAGGAAGAATAAGCAGATAGTATGCCGCATCCCTCAAGTTAGTCCCAGGGACTGATGATATCCAACAGTTGCAAGCTCGACGTCGAGGTTGATGGACGTCGATATTAGGTCCTTCGTCGCGGTCTTGGCTTGTTTCTCCTTTCGGCATCTCGCCCCGGCTCATCTTAAAACTCCCTCTAGACGACACGTCAGGCGATATCGCGGATAGTCGCATATCGTCGTTTCTTTTGTCTGCGTTGACACATCTGTCTCTCTATGTTAACTATACCAAAATGCCATGGAGATGCTTAATGATGATCTGGCCTGGGAACAAAGCGACCCAATGTTGAATACCTTTAAAAGGGCTATAACTCCCGATGTCCTGATCGTGGTTATGGCAGCCAAAATACCTGACACCCCGGCCGAAAGATCGCGCTCTTATAGCAGGTGTCGGTGCATTCAATTTTTTGCTATAGTATGGAGCTTGACGATGGGTTTATCCTTCCTGTCTGTAGCATGTTCTCCAAGGTTCTAGAAGACTGAAGCGGAGATTGCTGTCATGCATTATATCAAGGAAAACACAGCGACTCCTGTCCCATCCATCGTGGAGGGCCTTTGTGACATGGGTCCGTACATTTTAATGTGATGTGCTGTAAGTGCATCATATCTTACAGCGAATTTAAAGGGCGCCTGGCTATGCTAGAGGCGACTGTCTTACGCTTGACCTGATGATTGATAAACCAACTCTGGATTTTCTCTACGGGCAGGAGAGATATTTTGCTGCAGCTATAAAAAATGGTCCTTCGACAAGATCAGTTCTCTCTCAGCCCAGCCTGATGGCTGATGGTTGTCTGGTGCGTTACGAAACGGCCTTTGACAATGAACATGAACGAGCCTGTGTAGCTTGGGGGCTACCATCGCTACCCTTACAGAGACTCAATATACCCATTCATTAACTCCGCGCAGTGGTGCTGTTGGGTCGGGGGAGGATCGCCGCCGTAATAGTTAGTCCAAAGGTTCCTAGGGCAGCCGCTCCTTCATCTACGCCAGAATGAACATGGCCACAATGGATTCAGGCTTTTATACGATGACACCTCCGGCCAAGTAATGTTCTTGTCGATGAACATTAAAAATCATCTCTGTCATAGATTAGGAGTTTACCTATGCTACCCCACCCCCTCCCCCGAGTTCACTAATAGACCTTCATGGTGGTTTCTTTTGGAAATACCTGAAGAGGCCTTTGGGTATATCCGACTCGTCTATAGTTTACGGCTCACGGCTTCAATCTGTTCTTCGAGTTATAAGGACCTAGGAGAACATCTCTATTCGCAATGGATACTCGTCTAAAGCAGAATGACTCCACGAGAAAATAGAAAATAGCTTGGAAAGGGGCACTTTCTGGGTTATTTACGGGCTACGTAAGAGCTAGGCCCCTGATAAAGCCTAGCTATTTGTTGGCCAGCCATTCTTTGGTGGGGATGAGACACCCGGGCAGAGAATCTGGTTGCTTGAGACGAGGATCCAGCTCACTGAAACTGAGGGCGAAGAAGTGGTACAGATCCGTTCAGTAAAAGCTAAGTGAGAAGAACTATAACTATGCTAGATCGCACAATCATTTCTTGGGCCGAAAGTGATACATCTCAAGGCAGCAAAGTGACTATCAATCGAGTCAAGGCAACGCCATCTACAGCTCACTTTCCTCTCCACATCTTCCTTCACAAAGCGCGGGAGGTGAGATCGGTGACTAAGCAGGTGACATCCTCTGCGCTAAACCCTTTGCGGTAGGCGGCAAACTCCCTCAGCAAAGCAAAAGCGCAAAAGCAAAGCTTGGAGCTTCCGTGAGAGACGAGAGAGGAAAGCAGCCAGCCTTCTGCAGCAAAAAGGATACTCATCTCTGGTGATAACCACGCCGACGTGCTAGTTACAACTCCATTCCCCCCGTCATCTCCGTGCTCCTTACGAATATCTGTTTTTCCTCACTCAAATTTCGAGTAGTAAGTTACTTGAAGCTCAATCCTGTGGCTCTAGTTATGGAAGGCAGGACGGCGGTGGAAGCTCCAGCCGCTGCGGCGAACGGGACAATGGACACTGGGATGGACATAGATATGGACCTGGACCTTGGACAGTTACCTGAGCCTGATCCGATTGAGCTAGTTAGTGACATCTGCGGGGTGTATTTCAAGACTAAAGCAGTACTAATACTATATCATACAGGAGCCCGTTTCTACTCTGACAGTAGCGTCTGCGATCGCGGGGCAAACCGAGGCTGGAGTAGCCAACCCCAATGACGAACCTCAGCTCGAGAAAGTCCATATTCGGGGTGTTGATGAACTGACTACGGATGATATTAAACGGTTTGCTGCCGAGCATTTCACCTTAGAAGAGCCTGAGCGAATTGAGTGGATAGATGATACCTCGGCAAACATTATATACAGCTCGGCAGAGGTGGCATCCAAAGCCCTATCATCATTTACTCAGGAGAATGTCGAAGATGCAGTTACTAACTCGCCCTCACTTCGCCTTCGGACGGCGAAGGCACTGTCTTCTCACCCCGATTCAGTTCTACAGGTCCGGCTGGCCGTGAAGTCGGATCGAAAGAAACATCGCGCATACGAGGCTAGCCGCTTCTACTTGATGCACCCAGAGCATGATCCTCGAGAACGCATGCGGAATGAATTTTCTGGCAGAAGACATCGGGGACCCAGAGGTGATAATGATGGTGATTATCGGAGAAAACGATTTGATGATAAAGAGCACCGTCGACGCAGAGGTCAGGCCAGAGACGATAATTTCGATGTTAGTATGTATGATGATGACGCGGACCGTGGGCGACGTGCTTCCAGTGGTGATATATCTAGTGCTGGCTCATATACCAGGAGCCGAGCAAGAAGGAATAACCGTGACCTTTTCGACGATCGTATGGAATCGCTGGAAGGGCGACTTAGGGACCGAAGTGCCTCACCTTCTAGGGCAAATGGAGACGGACCGGATCTTCGACTTGCTGGTGGCTCATCGTCTAATAGGCGTTTCCGTGATAGACCCTCTCTTTCTGGCCGTGACAGTAGGGATAGGTCCCGTTCTAATGCTGGAAAAGAGCTTTATCATTCTGGCAACAACGCAGGCGATGAAGCCGCAAGAGGGAGGGAATTGTTTCCCAACAAGACTGCTTCAAGCTACCTAAAACAGGAGCTACTGATGAATACTGTATCTCCACCAGCCAACACAGTGCATCGTCGATCCGATGCTTTTGACGCTGCTGACGAAACAACTGATCTCTTTGCCCAGCGGATGACTGTTCCATTGGTGGATGGTGCTAATGATGACGCTAAACGTTCCAACAAGCGTAATGTGGAGTTGTTTCCAGATTCAATAAAGGACCGGTCTCAGAACTTGAACATCCGTGGCCTATCATCGGAAGATAATGGAGTTTCTATTCGAGGGGCTGCCTCTGGTGGGATATCTATAAAAGGGGCAGCTAACGTCAGAGAACTTTTCCCCTCGAAGTATACTGGCAACGAAGGGAAAGAGCTATTTTCAGATACCCTCGAAGGACGAGGGGGGAGGAGAAGACGTGCAGAAGATATGTTTGGTTGATTGGGGCTGGCGCTCAATCACCTGGCCGTGTTCCACCATTGCATTGGACGCACTTTTGATATCCTGAAGCAGGCTTTCGATTTACTAATTGTAATGAAGATGGGACGAAATTGAAGTTATTCACAATAATATATAATCTAGCAACGGCGTTTGGGTTGGAAATCTTAATTTGCATTTGATTGATGATTCATACTTGAGATTTAGGTTCAGATAATCAAATTGGCTGGGATGGACTCTTATAACAATGTAGTGTCCTTAGAGGAATAACATGTAGCCATCGTTCCATGCACCTCTGCACCATGGGGAAGGTAGACAGGGTGTTTGGTAATTAGATGGCGGTTCAATCTTGGCACGTAAGAATAAATCCTTCAGCAATCGGACAGATAATTGACTCCGCTGCTGTACACACATATGCCTGGTCAAGGTAACCAATCAGGTAAGAATACAGAATGCAACCTACCTTCCCGCTAGATTTTGATTTTGAGTTGCAACTGGGATCGATAACCCCAAGTAACCACGCATATCGACCGGGAAATCTGCAAGCGATTGTGAAGTGCAAAAGACGAGGGTTGAAATTTGAACGTTTCTTTTTCATTACATTTCCTTCCGATTATCCTTGTAAAGGGAGGTAGAAATGAGCTCTATCTCGACATAAGACACATGACGAATAGATAGCACGGTGGATGTCAAAAAAACAATTCCCGTTTTCTTTTGCTGTTAAATAAAAGGCCAATATGATGCATGTCCCGTTTATGCAGAGTCCCGCTTGCCCTCCTTAACCTCCTTCTGTAGAATATATTAGCCTGAAATTCCTCTGACAAAATTGGTGTGTATCCGTACCAATGCCTTCATTGTTCCGTGAAGAGCATGTCTGTGGTTTCTTCGGAACTTGGGGTCTGTGCCCTTGAGGGATGGGTAACGGTGAGTCTTTGGCTTCTTAATACTGTTTTATCCAAAAATTATCTTGTCAGTTACGTCCCGCTCTGAGCCCAATTTTTGACATGTCCAAATATTCGCCGATAAGCGCCATATGTAGAGCAACAGTTCTTCAATTATATCGCCGCCCGGACAGGTTCAACTCGCTTGGGAATAGGGGGTCAAATATCGACGTACCCGTTCCTATGGGCCTTCTTGTTCTGGTTGTGTTGCGACGAGTTCTTGGATTCTGTTCGTTTTGAGATAAGTTGTTAGCGGTTGAACTTCGCTACAGGTGCTTCGGAAAGCGCCAGTTTTAGGGAGCAGATTTCGCGAAGAATCGCAACTTTGGCGGGAGGGCAAAACGTACTGGCCATCTTGACGGTCTGGCGGCAACTTTAACGGTTGATGTAAGAAGGTCGTCGTTGTCGAGATGAACTTTTTTGAGAAACCTGAGACCTTCAAGTTGTTTGTGTGGATGGGCTCGCTTACGTTGGCGCTGGAGGCGCTAGTCCGGATTAGGCCACAGTTTCACAACTTTGCTCTATCAGAATCTCATTTACACTCAATATTAGGAGCAGAGAGGGAACAATAAAATAAATTGACAGCGGGTGAGGAACTAATTGAATCTATACGTGCTCTAGATACAAAATCATCCAGAACAAAAGCGCTTTCTACCTCTATCCACGCCAGTGTATCGGTTGAGCAGCGGCTAAAGTAGCACCAATTGTATATCACGTGATTAAATCCGCATCCCAAAGCGGCTTAGGCCCGAGACGTCCCGAAAGTTCAGCGACTTCAAGCATCGCAACATCTCAACGCCAGGACGACCTCCAACATCCCACTCGAAGCCCATCTCAAGGCCAATTGCAGCCATGTTCTCTCTCCGCTTTGCCAGACCAGCCTTCAGGGCCGGAGCCACCGCTCTCCGCGCTCCTCTGTCCCAGAGAACCTACGCCACGGCTGTTGCGGACAAGCTAAAACTGTCTCTTGTCTTGCCCAAGGAGGTGCGTTAAAAGAATCTTCGGATCCCCTCATTCGTGCCCATCGATGCGCTGTGTCAGCGTAATATGCTTTTGAAATGAATCGGGGTGTGATAAACTGACGAATTGGCTCGGAATAGACCATCTACAAGTCCGCCGACGTGTACGTTTTATAACCTCAAACCCATCCAACAATCCACCCTCCAAAGACCCAATTCCCCATCTCCAACCTATACCCGTGATGAAACTACGAAAAAACAGCATAAGCTAATCGAATATTTCCACCTTTTTAGCGTCCAGGTCAACATTGCCGCCGAGTCCGGTGACATGGGTATCCTCTCCAGCCACGTTCCCAGCATCGAACAATTGAAACCCGGCCTCATCGAGATCATCGAGGAGGGTGGTCAGACTAAGAAGTTCTTCCGTATGCTATATCCTTTCCATCCGACTCTTGCTCAATTTCTGCAACTCAATATCAAGCCAGCCGGAGTCTTGGCATCGATATCAAGTTTTTTTATATTGGGTATATTTTGCATGTACTGATGTGATATTCTTCTGTTCTAGTTGCTGGTGGATTCGCCGTTATGCAGCCAGATTCCAACCTCAACATCAACGCCGTTGAGGGTTTCTCTCTTGATGCTTTCAGCGTTGATGTGAGTTTCGCCCGCCCTTGTCCCCCCATGCCCCGGGAATATATATGACATGAAAATACGGGGGTAAATACATACAATGGGACAACCAGCTAATAACCTGACAATAGGCCGTCAAGTCCCAGCTGGCTGAGGCCCAGAGACTCGCCTCCGGTACTGGAAGCGAGAAGGAAATCGCTGAGGCCAAGATCCAGGTAGAGGTGCGTTACAATCCGTGACCCCGTTGTTTTTTTTATTCTACTCTGTTAGTCAATGGATATGTGCTAACATTATTCTTTCACCTGCGTCAGGTCCTCGAGAGTCTCCAAGCTTCTTTGAAATGATAGAGTTGTAGGATGTATATATTCCGTTTCATCCCGACTGACGAAAACCCGTTTCTCTCACTGTTGAACCTGTAGAATAATAAACAGTAGCTGTTTTCTCTAAACCCCAAAGAATTTTTGTATACATGTACGACACTTTTTATTCATGCTGATGGTAGTTGCTATTTTGATATACAATATGTTTCATTTCAAGAAGTAACGTAAATAATACATATCTATTCCGCGTAAAATCAGAATCAGCATCAGCGAATAATCAGGTTTTCCTAATTCATTCCGTCCCAGGTGAGAATATGGCTGGCTGGCTATGCATATGTTTAGCATCCATGGGAAGAAAACAGGCAAGGAATAAATCAAAGAGCCGGCCACCACGCACGCTACCTACCAAAACAAAGGGAAAACATAAATATATACCATAAATTCATCGTGCAATAAAAGTCAAAACAATGGACATGAGCAGAAAACAGGAGGAAAAATTAAGGAACCGGGCAAAAACGGGGCAAAAAGGGAAGCAGGACGTAATAAATCGTGAATATCAGCCTGATAAAAAGACACACAGAATTTATTAATCCAGGAGGGGGAAAGCCATGTACATGGATACAAGAAGAAGACATCATTATATCCTTTGACATTAATTTGGGGGTATCATTTTCTCACTCATATTTTTATTTTTTTATTTTTTTATTTTGATTTTTTTCCCTTTTAATTTCTAGCTTAGTCGGTTGGCTGGGCCGATTATGTCCAATCGACGCTATGCTGGCGTTGGGACCTGGCGATGCGTCGTTCAGCACGCCTTCGGCCGCTTCTGCTGGCGTAACTACCGCTTAGGTCGGTGCTTACTGTGCCTGGGGAATGGAGGCCGGCATGGCTTATTGGTAGTGGAGGTGGAGGAGCGGGGATTGATGATGGAGCGGCTACGGATCCGGGGGGATGAGCCGAGGATTGAGGCATTGGGGAGTGTGGAGGGTTGAGTTGAGATTCCGGCACTTGTGAATGTGAAGGTACGTGTGAGTGAGCTGGTGCTGGAATTGGTGAATGTGAGGGTGCATGAGACTGCGATGGCGGGTGTAGCTCTTCCTGCGCCTGTTGGCGCTCACGTTCTTCGACACGACGCCAGTGCTCATCCTCCGAGAAAGAGCCCTCTCGGCCCTGACGCCGGTGCTCACGACGACGAGCTTCACGCTCTGCTCTTTTTTCTTCCTTTGTAAGCTGTCGTAATGTAACATGGCGTCCCTCAGGTTTGACCGTTATGGCAACTTGAGGAGAGTCGTATGCATCTTCACCACGATTTCCGCTTCGTCTCCTGTGGCCTGATCCGGCTGTTTCAGCAGCGCCTGCCACGGCAGTGCCTACACCGAGCGTGGATGGGTATCTGTGATGACTGCGGTGTTTGCGTCCGGGACTGGGTGGTCTATCAGTTACTGAAGAGGCGGCTGGCGGAGGTGGTCGTCCAGCGGTGCCTGATGGTCCTGGAGCAGCGTCAGAGGCCGCCAGCTCACTGGATGGGGAATGGGGTCTGTCATAACGTCTCTCCCCCTGGTGCTTGCGTTTGCTGTTTGCCCGGGCAATTCGTTCATGCTCAAGGTCTTCTTGCCGTATCTGTTCGACTCGGCGGTCTTCCTTTGATTTCCGGCCGAAGAAGCTCTTCACGGCAGCAAAGGCGCCTGCTCCAAGGAGGGCGTTGCGCACGGGATGTCCACCACCGCCGCCACCACCAGGCCTGGAATCTTCGGTGTGGGTATAGTAATCAGTATCTGTGTATGAGGTGGTTTGATCTTCACTGGGAGCACCATGGTATTGGCCCTGGTGTCGATGAGGCGGCGGTTGTGGCGGCCGACCTTCCTCCACACGGCTGATAGAGTCATCGTAGCTATCTGTGACGGTATGTGCAGGATGGTAGCCCGACTCGGAGTAATCATCCTCGCGGCGCTTGTTGAATGCTTTCTTTCCCAGGCCCATCAAGCCAGCCAGAGCACCTACGCCCAGCAGCTTCTTCCCCCAGCCCCCATGATGCGACTCCTTTTCATTGATGTAGGGGGTAACTGCCGTGTCAGGGGAATGACTGCGGCTTCTGCTCCGGCTTCTGCTTCTACTTCTGCTTCTACTGCGACTTCTACTCCTTCCGCGGCCACCACGCAGCTGGTTACCTAGCATAGCTAGTCCAGCACCTGCAGCCCCAGCAGCTGCCAAACGGCCAAAGTTTCCATGGCTGCGTTCGCCGTCATCAATGACTTCGGGGCCGTGATAGTGGCCTCGGGGATCATATCCAGCACTAACACGGCGCTCATGGAGGTAAGAGAGGATGATGTAGGTGACAAGCAAAGCAAAAGCAGCCAATGCGAAGAGGATAAATAGAGAAAGTGGAGAGCCATATAGAGTTAAGCCTAGCGGGATCTGAGCAATGCCGAGTAAGGCTAGAGCGCGCCCAAGCCAGTGATGGATCTGCTACAGGAGTAAGTAGAAGTCATAGCGGTTAGCGGATTGGCCTCGGGGATAAACGATTGATAGCCGAACGATTGGTCAAACATACCATCAGCTCCAGAGAAAGGTGCAGCCTGCGCTTCCCCTTGACACGGCCGTGGATAAACCACCCCCAGAAAGTCTGTGCAATGACCATGACGTATATAGCAAGTCCAATTCCATGGTGAGGATTGGTCAGACTCCTCTTGGGCCCGACTGCGAACCATCCCAGCGTAAACACGACAGTGGTGAGAAACAGCGTGAGGATCTGCATCCATATGTGTAGCCTTATAGCCCAGTACGGACTCCTCGAGTAGAAGCGGGCGAGCAGGATGGAGATGGGTACGAGGCCGAGGAAAGTGATTGCGGCAAGGGCACCGTGGGCCCGTATAATCGAATGGTACCCGGGCAAATTCTTGAACCTATTTCCCATCCCTAGAGGATGTTAGCCAGGCGTAAGTGAATGGAAGGATAGGAGAAGGGGTACCATTGTACCGCATGGCCTCAAAGTTGAGGCCCATGAGGTTGGGCAAGAGGAAAGTGTTGCGCTGCGAGTCCCATGTCCCATCGCCGACGTTGAGCACATTGGAGGCATATGTGCCTGTCCCCGGCGGGCCCAGGCCTGAGTTCGACATGGCGGGCTCAAGAGAGCAGCAGAAGCGACGGATAGGCTAAAGGTTCTTGGGGTAGGTAGGCAGGTAGGTATAGCAGGACGCTGTTTTGTCGGCGACGGCGGAGGAGATCTTTCAAGATCCCTCGCTCCGACTTAGAGGACCATTCACCTCCTCCGGCCAGTATCTATCCAGTGTCTATATCCGGCTATCCCCAGTAATCGCGGAGGTATAATATCAGTGGGTGTGGCAGCTGAGGCCGCAGAGGTCTGAAGGTGGCAGGAATGTCAGTCGGGAGAGAAAGGAATATGTATGTGTCTGTCAGAAGGAGAAAAAAAAAACAAGCCAAAGTGGTACAAGGTGGCCAGACGCCGTCAACAAATACCCAGCGACCAGGTCAGGTCAGCCCAGCCATCCAAGGATGCGTTCGAGATGTATCAAACTGCGACTTCAGCTTCGTCTTTTCGACTTTCGACTTTTGTAGAAAAAGCGACAACAACGGTTTTCCTCTTTCGGTTTAGCGCTGACAACTCATAACCCGGACAACCGCTGAGTAAGGAATGACTAATAACATATATAATTTATTACATAATACAATTTACTAATATCTTACTAAGCCACGAGAAGCCTCGGCTCAGCGACCGCCAGCGACAGACGGCAGGAAAGCGAAACGCAGGCTTGGATAGCCGAAAGATGGGGAAGAGAGACAAAAGAGACGCTCGAGCCGGCAGGGAGGGCGCAGGAGAGAGAGTCTCGTTTGCATCTATCTGTCTATCTGCATATCTGTCTATCTAGGTGATCCGTTCGGGCGGCACGATGGCGGGAGAAGTTCGGCAGCCCATCGACCAGGCGTCGTTTGAGCGCTACATCGACGCCCAGGTCCCGTCCATCAAGACGCCATTGACCATCAAGCAGGTGAGATATTGCAGCTTTTGCTCAGCTTGCTATCTGTATAATATTAGTGTAGCTAACGGCAGGCAGTTCGGATTCGGGCAGAGCAACCCGACGTACCAGCTCATCTCCGCCGACGGGGCAAAGTACGTCCTCCGCAAGAAGCCACCGGGCAAGCTGCTGTCCAAGACGGCGCACCGAGTCGAGCGCGAGTACCAGATCATCCATGCGCTGGAGAAGACAGACGTGCCCGTGCCGCGGACCATATGCCTGTGCGAGGACGAGAGCGTGATCGGCACGGCGTTTTATATCATGGAGTTTCTGGACGGGAGGATCTTTGTCGACCCAGCCATGCCGGGCGTGACCCCAGACGAAAGACGAGAGCTGTAAGTCAAGCTGTCTGTTTTTCAAAGGTTCCATTGGGTGGAAGAAGAGGACAATTGACCTCTCTTGTGTGTGGTAGATGGAAAGCGGCGGTGCAGACACTGGCCCGATTCCACCGGGTCGACCCCCGGAGCGTGGGCCTGGACAAGTTTGGACGGTCGGGCAACTTCTACGACCGGCAGCTGGCGACGTTCCAGACGATCCACACGGCGCAGGCGAGCACGCGGGACATCGAGACAGGGCGGCCGGTCAATGAGCTGCCGCACTTTGACGAGCTGGTGGCCTTTTTCTCGACGAAGAGCAGCCAGCCTCTGGACCGGTCGAGCCTGATCCACGGGGACTACAAGATCGACAACATGGTCTTCCACCGCACGGAGAGCCGGGTGATAGGGGTGCTGGACTGGGAGATGGCGACCATCGGACATCCGCTTTCAGACCTGTGCAATCTTACGGGCCCCTATGCCAACGTCGAGGGCGGCCCGGCGGAGACGAGGTTCAGGAGCGAGGGGATCGAAGGGCTGCCGACGCGAGACGAGTGTGTGAGGTGGTATGGGGAAGTGAGCGGGTGGGCAGTCAGCGGGCGAGAGCTGGGCTGGGGAGATGCGTTCCACGCCTTCCGGGGCTCGATTATCATGCAAGGGATCGCAGCGAGGTATGCGCTGAGACAGGCAAGCAGTGCGAGGGCGAGGGAGTATGCCAGTCTGATGAGCCCCTTTGCCCGCAAGGCCTGGGAGAAGGTCTTGCAACTGAAGGATGCCACAAGCAGCAACAGTACCAGCAGCAGTACTAGCAGCAACAGTAGCAAGCTGTGACTTAAACTTGTTCTTTTTCTATGACATGTCTCTGATGCATCCCTCTTTTTACTCCGTGCCCGTCTACGGCTCTGCTGGGCCCCTGTATATACTCCATCATGCTAACAGGACTAACCCTTGCTTCATGCGGATGTCTGCCACGTGTCTCTCCTGAGGAAGTCTCTCTCTTTCGGTCCTTTTTTTCTTCATCTTCTTCGATGGTCTGTCTGTCTGTCTGTCTGCCCAAAAGTAAGGGTAAGACCCGGGGTGGTTCAGAAAGAAGCAGTCTCTCCGGCAGGGCTGAACAGGCGCCCTCGGCCTGTCTTTTGTCTTTGGACATGTCTCTCCCGCTAATTACCTGCTCCCGTCAATAAGACAGCAGCAAGCCGTACTCCGTACTGGAATATGTAATAAGAACAAGCAACCTCAGCTCGGTGGCGTGGCTGAGCAGTGGCGAGTGGAAGAAAGCCCATAGAGCAAAAAAGAGGCTCAGGGGTAACCGCCAGCACCGAGATATCACCACCAGCAGCACCACCATCAGGAGAGCAGTAAACAGGCAGTGATAGATGACACTATGGGTAGCAGCAGTAGAGTCACAGTCGAGCCGGCCAGCCCGAGGGTCTGTCTCCACTGGCATCGTCGCAGTTGATTACCAGCAGTCAGTCCCAGAGAGTAACTCTGTATCAGCAGCACCGGCGAATGGAGCCCGGCCAAGGGGCTGAAGAAGAGACCCCCCCCCCCAGGGCCGTTTCACGTCAGGGATGCCCTCCAGCTCGTCCGTTTTCTTCATGCTGAGTCTCATCATCATCAGCAGCAGCAGCATCACCGTCGCCGTCGCCGTCGCCGCCGCCAGCCCTAAAGGCAGCGCTGAGTCCTCTTGAGTCTGCCGTCTCCGTCCTCCCTGGCGCTTCCCTGGCCCTCCCCGTTGGCTCCTTTCCAACCGCCCTGGGACTGACTCCCCTTATAACACGGCGGATGCGGCTGTTCTTTTCTTCTTCTTCTCTTCTTCTCTTCTTCTTCTTCACCTTCTCCTTCTTCTTAGCTTTATGCTGCTGCCTGGCATCTTCCTCCTGACCAAGTCTGCTGGTATGTACTCTCTCTCTCTGTCTGTCTGTCTCTCCCGTCTTCTACTCTCGTCTTCTCTTCTTTCTCTCTGCCTGCCTTGCGGCTCTGTTGGCTTGTGGCTCTGCTAGCCTTTTCCCGGCTGGGTTTCCGTCTTTCTTCCCGCCGCCGATCCACACACCACAGCCTCATCTTCATCTTCATCTTCATCTTCATCTTCTTCGCTTCTTCTTCTTCGTCTTCTTCTTCCTCGTCTTCGTTCTTCGTTCTTCGACGCATCAGCCTCATCCTCGTCTCGCCTGGCCTTCTGTCAGCGTGTCTCTCTTCCGTGCCCCTGTCCGCCCGTCTGTCTCTCTGTCTGCTGCCCGTCTGCTTCGACCAGATGGCCTGACTGTCAGCCTGTACGTCCCCTGCCTGCTCGGAGGTCCGGTTTGTTCCCTGGCTACTCCCTCTTCTTCCTCTTCTTCCCCCTCTTGTTTCTCTTCTCTGTTTCTCTGTCTCTCTGTCTCTCTTTCTGTCCTCCTTTCCGTCCCCGTTGTGGTGCTGGTCCCAGTCCCGTCCTTCGCCTGAGGTCGCCTCTTCCCCAACTGAATACGACCCAGTGAAGCCGTTGGCTCTGTGTCCCTACTTTTGCCCCCCTGTCACTCTCCACTGATCCTGCAGTCTCTCTCTCTTTCTTCTCTCTCTCTGAGTCTACTTCTTCGTGTCTTTTTGCGTCCTCTTCGGTCTCCCAGCGCTGTGCTGATAAAAGTGCCAGGCCAGGCTTGCTAACCATCCCAGCCCGTCCGAGAAATACCAAACCAAGGAAAAGGAACAGCACAGGAAGGGCAGACACAAAAGCACCCAAGAAAGGGGGGAAATAAAGGGCTAAAAGAAGAGAAAAGAAAGAAGAAAAAAAGAGTGTCCGAGTCTGCCGGAGGTACCTCGTCTGTGTCTCTCTCTCTTTTTTTTTCTATCTCTCTCTCTCTTATGTCGCCGAACCTGGACTCGCCCATGAAATGATGAACTACGACTCAGACGACGCCCGGAACCTCTCTCCGCCCCTCGAGAAGCAGAAGATCGTCTACGAGCCGCACGAGTCCCCTCCGCCATTCATCCCAGAGGACAAGAGCGAGACCTGCAGCCCGGTCGACGCCAGCTGCAGCAGCAACAACAACAACAACAACACCAGCAGCAGCAGCAGCAGCAAGCCGGGCGGAGGCGGCCCGGGAGGAGGTGGTGACCGTAAGCGTCGACGATGTGGCAGATCAACCAAGTCAGCGTTAAGCGACGAGCTAATACTGAGGTCCGTAGCTCCCAATGACCCCGAGATTGCCTACAGGTCCAGAGAAGCGCCCCTCAGGCGGGATTCTTCCTCCTGCTCCTCCTCCTCCCCGGTCTCGGAGCATACCAGCGGTGCTGAGGACGCCGCCAGCCTCCAGGACGTCGACGGTGCCCTTCCCCCGGACATTGAGCTCAAGAGACGACTCCAGTCGACGTCGACGTCAGCAGGAGGCGCAGCCAGAAAACCCTCGTCGCCGACCTTGATCTCGGCCTCCAACAACAACAACCATCACAATAACAACAATTCTGCCGAAAACAACAGTACCCATACCAGCACCAGCCACAGAAACCACCACCACAGTCACCACCACAGTCACCATCACAGCTTCGGGCAGCCACTGCCACGCCCTGACATTCTTATGACCGATCCTCCGAATCCCTCAGCGGATCCCTCAGCCGCTGCCGCTGCCGCTACTCCCAGGCATCCTGCTACTACGGCTAGCTCGAAAGAGGGAGCTTCAAACGCTGCTAGTCCTGCTCCTGCTCCTGCTCCTGCTCCTGCTGCTACCACGACCACCCGTCTTCCTTCGGTGGCCCAGATCATCTCAAATCCTACCTCTCAGTCTCCCCTCTCGGCCTCGATTTTTCAGGATTCAAGGCCCCCCTTGCTCACAACCCCTACAACATTCAAGAAACTAAATACTTTCCCCCTGGATCCTTCCCGAGGAGCTGGCGGCCAGAGCCTGCCGTCAACTATTGCTGGCAGCTCCTCGGACTCCGGCAGCACTGTCTGCCAGAGCCTCCCATCCTTCAGATCCTCCTTCCCCAGTGAGATTGTCCCTGATGTTATCTCCTCAAAGGATCACTTTCTCAATAAAAACGGCGTGCCACCACAACCACCGTATCCGGCAGTCACTTCTTCCCCTCGCCAGTCACACCACTCCCATTCGCACAGCCATGGCCACCACACCTCGTCACAGTCACATATACGTCGCCTGTCAGAGCAATTCTACCCTACTCCTCTACTATCCTCAACATCATCTACGCCAGCTTACTCTCAGGGCTCTCCTCCCAAATCCTGTGATATTCCTACACACCACCACCACCAGCAGCCGCCGCCGCCGCCGCCTTCCCAACAACAGCAGCAGCAGCAGCAACAACAACAGCAACAGCAACAGCACTACTGGCCAGGCAGGCTAAAAACAGACCACTCCCGGTCTCATTCCCAGTCCCACTCTCAATCCCTGTCTCAGTCCTCATGTGAGCCTGGCTTCCAGTACAGCGACTCCCCAAGTACAGGATATCCTACCCCCACGGACCCAGCCAGTCAGGAGGGCTCGGAAAAACGCCATGCAACGCCCACATCCTCTTCCATCGCGTCCTCGGGCATGTTCAAATGCAATTACCCTGGCTGTGTCGCCCTCCCATTCCAGACCCAATACCTTCTAAAGTATGTCTCCTCCCTCCCGCCCCTACCGCTTTTTTTTAAAGCTCATTCTAATGCAAAAGTCCCAGCTCGCATGCAAATGTCCACTCTCAATTCCGGCCATACTACTGCCCCGTCCAGGGCTGTCCCCGCTCCGAGGGCGGAAAGGGCTTCAAGCGCAAAAATGAGATGATCCGCCACGGTCTTGTGCACGATTCGCCAGGCTACGTCTGTCCGTTCTGCCCGGACCAAAGACACCGCTATCCCAGACCTGATAATCTCCAACGGTACGTTACCAAGCCCAAGATGAAAAAGAAAAAGAAAAGAAAGGAAGGAAGAAGTAACCGTTCTTTTTCGGCCCTCGTTCTTCGTTTCCTTGTCGATCCCGCTCTTAGCGTGGTTGCCTGTTCATCACTTCCGCTGCGCCTCCTGTGCCTCAGGCAGGCGCTTATTCAACATTTCACCCTATATTATCCATACATAACCCCCAACGCATTAAGCATAATATGTAATGTGGCTGTGCTAACCTTCTCTCCCCTTTTTGCCTTTGCCTTAAACAGACACGTCCGCGTCCACCACATCGACAAGGACAGAGAGGATCCGTTGCTCAGAGAAGTCCTTGCTCAAAGACCCGAGGGCGCCAACCGTGGACGAAGGCGCAGAGCCTAGCCATATTCCGTTCTCCCCGTCCCCTTTTCCCACCCTCCCACTCCCCTCCCTCCCTCCCCCTCTTTTCTCTCTTCAAGATACTATAACCATGACCACGACCACGACCCACGCCCTTACATCTCATCATCATCATCATCATCATCGTCATCGTCATTATATTGTCCCATTTCAAAGCGAGAGCGAGAGCGAACTGTGTTTTTGATGTTTTCTTTTTTTTTGCTTGTTTATCTTCCTGCTATTGCCTTTCCTTTCCACTTTCCTCCTCCCGCCTGTTCTAAAACGAATATATATATATAGTTTATATATATACTCTGTTTGCGTGTCATCCATCTTGCCATTCCATATCATACCATATCTCCATTCGTTCGTCTATCCGGCCCGGTCTGGTTCTATTCACTTCATTCGTTTTTGACCTTCTTTTCTTGTCATCGATCATTTTACCTTGGCTACTCTATCCATCTTGCTCATTACTCGGCTTGCAAAGGCGTACAAACATCGGCTGGATCATTCTTCTTCTTTTTTTCCACACCACGTTTCTTTTTCCTCTTTCTATGTATTTCTTTAATACGTTCCATTACATCCATCTATCTACACTTTTATTTCCCTTGTTATTATATTTCCTTGTTTCCTCGCCATCGTCTCGGGAGCAAAGCGAAACACCGCCTCACGAGCAACCCCATCTCAGCCCCGTCCCCATCCCCGTTCCCGCTGCCATGCCCGCCTCCTCACATTTCATTACAAGACTAAAAAAAATTCATCGCTCCGTTCACTTTCTTTTTTTCGTCTGTCGGGGAAGGGGAAATTTTTCGAAAAAGAGAACACGGCCATTATTCATCAACATCATACAACACACGTCGAGGTCCTGAGACGAGGGTTTCAGGATAGGATTATTTATTAGGATAACGGACACCTTGCAAGTAAAATGGGGGCTACTAAATTTATTGAATTGCTGATCGATTTGATTGACCTCGTTCAATAAGTAACCAGCTCACGGCCCCGTGTATATATTTATTTCACCAATAAAAAAAAAAAAAGGAAAAAAAAAAAAAAAGAAACGAGAGAAGGAAGGGAGGGGGAAGAAAAAGGAAGAATTCATGTGATTCTGGTTCTGGTTCTGATTCTGGTCCGCCTCTGCATCCTGCGTGTCTTATATGCCTTCCAAGGTTGCCTCGTTATTTATTGATTTTATTTTCCAGGGGGGTAAGAATCCGATAGGCACCGGCTTGTACGGGGGGGTATCCATATCCATGGGCGGAAGGAGAACAACTGGCATGCCCTGCCAGACAGAAAGTAGCGGTAAGGTCAGCATGACCGCATCATACGACCAACTGACAGGCCGGACCAAAGGCAACCGCCAATATAGCTAAAAGTAGCTAAAAAAATAAAGCAAGGTGAACACACAAATAATACATCAAGCGAGGAAGAAGCGAGGATTGCTCAAGAAAATACCCCAAAACAGCTGGCGCACGCCCTTCCGTGTTCCTAGAGTAGGTCAAACCAGCCAGCGCCAGCATCATTCTATCCAGTTATCCAAGAAAAAAAAAAAATATCAAGGGATGGGGGAAAGTGTACTCTTGTACTACTTTCAACAGCTAGGCTCTTTCTCTCTGCCGAAGCAGTGGTTGTCGAACAGGAGCTTGACTCTCAACATCTTCATCCTCATCATCACTTTCCTTTGACCCATTGCTATTCCGGTAAAGGATGTAATGCTGGGCAATGAAGATAAAGTCAAAGAAAATGCTCACATTGCTTAGACCGAATTTCGCCGGGTTGCCTGTGATACCGCTCCAGTCGTTTTCAAGCGAGGAGTCAATGACCAGCTGTATCAGGGAGAGGATGCCGCCTATCAGATCAAGAAGGATCTGCCATATGCTCCATCCCACCGTTGACTTTAGCCGGTAGTTCAAGTACACCTGGGGACAGTACTTGACTACCGTTGCAAGTAACTTGACATATGACATGGTATAGATCTAGTAAATGCAACCGTCATCGTCAGCAAAGCCGTTACAGTTGCAGTTTGCAGCTGGGCACAGCAGGAAACATACACCATCTATCCAGGCCCAATCGGAAGCATCGTTACCGCCCTTCGACCACGCCAGGAGGAAGACGCCGAGTATGCACAGCACGCATCCTACCACCATCCCGGCCACAGGGGCGCTAACGTTCTGGTGCGCCGATGCTTTGAAACCCCATATCATCGGGTAGAACTGGGAATACGTCAACACGCTCAGCAGGACTGCATGGAAGGCAAACGCAACGTCGTTGGCGCGCACGGTGGGCTCCGGCGCCTCTGGATGACGGACGGCATACTGGTGCCGTATGACGGGGGAGAAGTAGAAGGTCGAGGTGTAGACAGCGTAGCAGATGAAGCCAAGCACGTTGGAGGTCGGGAACGAGATGGTCGAGCCCGAGGTGGAGCGACGTTGCCAGTTCTTGATCGGCTGCGGGTAGAACGAGAGAGACCAGCAGAGCATGCTATGTAGTATTTTGTTCTTTTAGCTATGTGATTCCTCTGGGCCAGCTTCGGGATGTCCGCCTGTGAGGCTGACGGCCGGCAGCGGGGGGGAGTAAGGCAAGGGCGAGCATACTATATCCATCCCAGAAGCCTGTGGAGTAGTTACATCGTTAGCTTAGTGGTTCCCTTGAGTTGAATATAGCTGCTTGTTATAACCAGCTGGGTGGGCTTGTGAGGCAGTGGTGCTGGCGGTGCTGGCGGACGACGTTACCTGGAGACTGCACGCAGGAACCGCACGACCTGGGACGACATGGCGGGCAGACAGCGAGCGGGCGAGACAGGCCTACTGCCGTCTGTTCTGAGGCGAGGGAGACGGAGGGAGAAGAGCTGTGTATTCCACTGGCCTCAGCCGGTGTCCATCCCTTCGCCTTTTTTAAGGATGATGTCTGTGGGAAGCGAGAAGTGAGGCATGACCGGCGGATGGTCATTTGCCCTGGACGCAGGCTAAGCTTTGGCTTCGACTAGCTGGCTACCGCCGACATACTACTACTTTGTTAATAATGACTTAAGGCGATAGCTGGGATAGGACTGGATATGTATTGAGGCCATATAGATGCCTGGCTAGACAGGCCGCTGCCTGGTTGTCTCGCTGCCAACTGCCTCGCTGCTCTATCCTGCGGCCTCCAGCAGGCATAACTAACTAATACACAGCAAGCAGCTTCGTAGCTGACAAGTAGCCAACCTGACCGGTACCTGTAGCTCGCTGCCTGCCTAGCGCCTGCAGCCTATTTGCTTACATGAAGCCGGAAGCCGAAGAAGCGAAGGCGAGTCATTCGGCCAGAGGAAATTTCCCGGCGGTTCCATCAGCCGCGACTCCACGACCGAGAGGCCAGCTAGGGAATCCTGTACAGCTTGTAACAGTCATAGTTTCAAAAAGGGAGCATCCCATTCAGCCATCTAGATAACTAGCTATTAACTAGTCTGCCGTGAGAGCCGCCAACATGGCATCTGACGATCTGGTGCCCGAGACAAAAGTGTTGGCGATTGCGAGTCATGTACGTTGGTCGCCCCCAAGGCTGCGGTTAATTTGGCGACGGGCCAATGGTGATATCAACCTCTGCTAACCCTGGCAATGTTGGGTATCTGAAGGTAGTCTATGGGTACGAAGAAGCCCTCTGCTTGTCCTGGTACTCCCTCCTTGACAAGGCCATGTCCTACCTTCCACAATATACCCCCCCGGGGCTGGCCCCGAATGCACAGGAACACTTTTCAATTTGCCTGTCTACATGACTAAATCAAGCTGCTCTGATACAGATATGTCGGCAATACGATGGCCACGCTTGCCATGCAGTCCCTGGGCTGCGAAGTGGCTGCCTTGAACACGGTTCATTTCAGTGAGATGCTCTCAACCCTGCGATGCATGTCAAGCGAGAGACGGATAAGTAGATACTGACCATCCATGTATAGGCAACCATACCGGATATAGACAGTTCAAGGGGACAAAGTCGTCTGCTCAGGAAATAACCAACCTATATGAAGGGCTACGGCAGAGCTACCTTACTGACTTTGACGTTTTGCTGACTGGATATGCACCCAGCGCTACCGCAGTGGAAGCAGTCGGAGCTATTGCCATGGACCTGAAGAAGAAGGCATCTAAGAAGCCAGGCTCATTTTTCTGGGGTGAGTCAATGACGATGTGTACGTGCTAAAGCTATAGTCACTTCTAACAGACGAGAATTAGTGCTTGATCCTGTCATGGGAGACCAGGGACGTATATATGTCAACGAGGATGTGGTGCCGGCATATAAAGCTCTCGTTCCCCATGCAGACTTGATCTTACCAAACCAGTTCGAAGCAGAGTAAGTCGGGCTGTCCCCTTGATCAAATCGACGACCACACAAAGACTAAAAGAATAAACCAAGGCTACTTTCTGGAATAAAAATTACTTCAGCTGAAAACCTGGTGGACGCAGTGACCGTCATCCACCGGACATATAACGTGCCTCATGTCATTGTTACTTCTGTACAGCTACCAGGACTGCCATCCTCATCCGCATCATCAGTCATCTCCCTCTCAACAGCAGATAATTCATCCGTCAGCCAAGATGCACGCCCAGACAACACGCTGGCAGTCTTCGGTTCTACCATGCGATCTGACCGCTCCGCTCGGCTATTTAAAGTCGAAGTACCTCGCCTAGACTGCTTCTTCAGCGGGACGGGCGACATGTTCGGTGCCTTGATGGTTGGAAGACTCCGTGAAGCCGTGTTTAATGATTCACCGGCGCTTCGTGAAACGGCTTCCTGGGTATCTCCAGACAATGTTGCGACGACGGATCTGCCGCTTGCCAAGGCCACTGAGAAGGTTCTGGCAAGCATGCATACGGTTCTGGAGAAGACAATGATAGCTAGGAACGAAGAGCTAGCGAGATATCAGAACGAAGATGAGAGGAATGACGCCGAGTTTGCTCATCTTCCAGAGGAAGAACGCAAGGCCGCGCTTGAGAAGAGGGCCCGGCTTCGTGCATCAAAGGCAGCGGAGGTTAGGCTGGTGCGCAACGTCGAACATGTAAGGCACCCTGTTGTGAAGTTCAAGGTGAGAGAGTGGAACCAGTGATCCGTCTTCAGCCTGTATATTGCCATTGATGTTGCTCTCTAGCAGCAGTAGTCTCTTATTCTGCCATGTGCGCATAAACATATATACCGGACATTAGAATAGAAACCGAAAATCATAGTTAACTAGAGTTCCAAGTCGTTGAAAATCGTTTTTTTTCTTTTAACCTGTGCTTCCGAACCCGCCGGCACCACGCACGCTTTCCTCCAATTGCTCAGCTACAAGAACTTCAGGCGTGTAAATCTGTAAGCCGTGTGTTAGCCACTGACTGAGCTGCCAATGCCAGATTGACTGTTCAATAAACTTACTCTCTCCAGGATGAGCTGTGCAATTCGGTCACCCTCCTTGACTATATTTTTTGCAACACGTTAGCATCACCTCTTCAAGCGGAGTATACTATAGTGATACGACGTACTGGTAAAGTTGACACCGGAGAAATTGAACAGTAACACCTTGACTTCTCCACGATAATCGGCGTCGATAACACCGGCTCCAGTGTCAATGAAGTTCTTCGACGCAAGCCCACTGCGGGGTGCTATCCTTCCGTCTACCACCAGGTCAGCTAGCCTGAAAAAGATATATAGACCGGCTTTCTTCCGCTTAGCCACTTACAAGTTCCCTCTGGAACAGCAATTGCAAGCCCAGTCGAGACTAATCCCTTGCCTCTGCCGGGAATCACGGTCTCCGTTGCAGCGTACAAGTCGTATCCGGCAGCAAACGCAGAGCCTCGGGTAGGCGCGCGGGCTTCCGGCACCAGCTTCTTGACCTGCAACTGGCAGGTAGGAGCAGCAGCAGGAACAGCGGGCGCAGTCTCGGTGGTCTCTGGAACCGCCATGGCTTCGGTCTTGGGGCGTTTGGCGAGAGGCGAGTTGGGTTGAGAAGGGGCGGTGTGAGCGAGGGCCTTGACACCCGGGGCAGCAGCAGCAGCAGTAGGGGGAGGAGTGACTTCTTTGGGGTTTGTCATTATACGTTGAGCAGGCTACTCTGTCAATTCATCAAGTCCGCAACCGAGTACTCCGTAGTTCAGCTTTTTCTGGAGGTCCAAAAAAGCACTTTATCTTCGTCTTTTAATGGCGGTGGTCGTGTTTCTGGTTCGTGTCCGTCACGTGAGGCAAGGTTCCCGCGCGTCCGCGCCCAAACAACATCCTGATATAACATTCCAGGCAGTAGTTAAGTACCTCGGGGTCTTCTCTGCACCGCACGAACATCTAAGTACTCCGTATCTGGATGGTCTGGGTACGGAAATATTGCATGTCTTCTCAGGCTAGGCTACGGAGCAGGTTTCTACGATAGGCAAGCCCTCACAAGGTCTGTTGCGCCGTTTTCCAGCGCGCACCGTTACGCAGCTATTGTGCCGGGTTATTATCGGATACAGCCAGATGCACCCGAGAAACAGCCGGTATTGGCCACTCGGCCGCAGCCCTGAGAAGCCTCTGATTGATGTGCAGCTCTCCTTCCATGGGTCGAGATTTCGGGTCGAATGACCTGCGGGCGGCAGTGCCTGGAGCATATTTAAGCCGCTTATGTCATAGCTCATGCCAAGTCTTTAACCGCAGCGAGCCTAAGCAGACGTCAAGCGAAATCAGGGAAACAACCCTGTCAGGAGAACAGATAGAGTGTCCGATAATAGCAGGTAGTGGTATGTCAGATGTCGGACGTTTGTCTTGGGACCGTTATTGTTTCTGGGCCAGGGCCGGAATTTCCACCATGGGGCCAAGATAATTTACGTTGGGTATCATTTCCATAGCAATACATTCAGAAAGCGGATACAGTGGCTAGTTAATTTGCTCATTCTTTCATCGTAGCTTAAGCTGAAAAAAAAAAGCCAACCCTCCCTTGCTCGTACTGTTTTAGCAGTAAAGATGTCGACTTCTTTTCTACTCTCTCGTTAATTTTTGCCCTTTAAAAATGATCTCGTCTCGAGTGAACACGAGACTTTCCAATTCGGGCCAAAGAAGGGACTCAAATTAGGCTTTCGGATAAATAAAGATCCCCATATCACGTGTACATGCAGCCTCATGTTGACAAACTTCCGCTTTGGGAAAGGTCGCGGTTCCACCCTTTGCAGATGAAAGTTTCTCCGTCTTTGATTTATTCCATCCATGGATGTTAAAGGAGTTCAGGAGCGTTGAGCGTCGTTGGCAGTCCAGCAGACGAGGAAGAAGAGTCATCTTTGGATAGCACTGAGCACTGAGCATCGAGCACCGAGCGCGAGGATGGACACTCTTAATCTGCAGTCTGCTTCCGAATATCTCAATAACCTACTTCTCGCCCGGGGACTCCTGCGGAATGGAAAACGGATCGACTTTGCAGACCCGGGGAACGCTGCGGACGGCGCTGAAGACACGATGGCACAAATTATTAACCTGATCCACGATCTGGTGACTCGGAGAGACGTGAGTGCTACTGTTTTCCCCATTCCTACTGGCTATGATACTGCGACGGTTGCACTGACACTTCCCATCCGCCAGCGTGAAGCAGAACAACGGGAAAGTCTTGCCACTACTGTGAAAAATCTCCGAAAGACAGAAGCAAAACAGGCACTTCAGGTGGTAAGTTTTGGTCATCCACGATTCCATTCCCAGTAAGTAGAGTGGTTTGATAAGACCCTAAACTGACGGTGTTATCAATGGGAATAGGAACAACTGGAGGGCAAAACGAAAGAACTGTCTCGCTCGATTGCTCTTGCAGAAGGGCAAGAAACAGCATTTAAATCCACAATACGCAATGCAGACATTACTATACGTGGCCTAAAGGATCAGATGCAGCGGATGAAATCGTCGATCCAGCAGATAAGAACCCAATGCGCTACGGACATCCGCAAACGAGATATTGAATTGCAGAAGCTCAAAACCCACCTGACCGAGCGACAGCGTGGAAAGAGAGATGGATACGGTGTGATGACTATTACAATACAGCCTCCACCGAAGACAAACACCTCCAGTAGAAAGGTGGCTCAGGGGGGGAGCACTGCGGATGTACCGGGCTACAGTCTCAAGCAGGAAACAACAGAGTATTTGACACAGCTGTGCCAGAGTTTAAGTGATGAAAACGATGCGTTGATACAGCTGTCTCGAGATACAATTCAGACGTTAAGAGAACTGCAAGGACTGGAGGATGGAGATGTGGAGGGGGTTCCTGAGGGTGCTGTAGGGAAAGAAGAAGGTGTAGATGCCGCTCTATCCCGGCACGAACTGCTCTCAAAGGAAATGGATGCTGCTCTTGACCAGCTGCGAGCTCTACTTACAAACCCGTCCTTTGTTCCCCTGGAAGAAGTGGAACTCCGAGACTCTGAGATTGCTCGACTGCGGGATGGGTGGGAGAAGATGGAGCAGCGATGGCAGGAGGCAGTTTCCATGATGGACGGGTGGCATAAGCGGGTGTCTCACGGGAGCGGGTCGATTAGCCTGAGTGAGCTGAGACTGGGGATGTCCTTCACGACAGACTCGAGCATGCAGAAGGAGGCGGGCAGCACGCTGAATTTGTCCGTGGATCAGTCAGAATCGGGCAGTTCGGCCGTGTCTAGCAGACGGGTATCCAACGACTCCTCGACCCGGGAGAGACCGAAGAGGCTGTTCGACATCGAGCCGTCAGGGGCCGCCAAAGAAAACCATGCACCGGCAGGCAAGACCGCTGCTGGGGGTGAGAAGGCGGCTGCGCAGAGATCAGACGCAACTGATGTACGCCAGAAGAGACGGAAGCTGCAGCGGAACCGCCCGGCCTGAGGGGAGCCCCCAGCAGACCAAAACCAACCTTAGACTAGAGATCTAAAAATGCCATATTTCATCAGTCTTTTCATCGTCTTTTCGTTGTCTCCGTCGTGGCTCTGTATGCTCTGATGCTCTGATGCTCTGATGTAGAGGTTGATGCCAACCGCCGCTTAGTCAGCTCAACATGCATCCCAACTCCAACTCCACCACAAAAACCTCGTTTTCTTCCATCCTCACAAACCTCAAACCTCGCTCGCTCGCAGAACCCGACCTGATCGAAACCTCGTTTCCCCTTCTCTCCCTCTCGCATCCTCCTCTCGCGCCCTTTCCGGTCTTTTATGCTTCGACTCATGCCTTAGTTCAGACGTTTGCTGGTTTAGCCGCTGTGTTCGATACACCGCTGTTGCCCCCGTGTCCAGATTCGAGCCTTAATTGCCGCCCGGCCTCAAGACCCTATCCTCGACGGGTTGCGAGTTTTTTTTGCGTTACTTCATATTAATACATTTATACTACTTGCCAAACCGCCGTGCAGCCCACTGGCCTGGTCTGCCTCCGACCTTTTGTCCAAGAACAAAAAATACTCCTTCCATCAAACCAGCTGTCCGGATTCTGGCTGAATACTCGGATCCCTGTCCCTTAATCATATCCGTCGCTTGGGCATTGCCCCCGACGCTCTTCTGGGGGGTTATTCATCTGCCTGCCTTCGAAAATACGTGGCTGACTCTCCCTTTGCAAACTCAGCTGGCGCTGCAGGAGCTTTGCTTTACTCACCAACCCAAAAAAATTTAATACACCACTCCTCTCCGTTCTTCAGCCGGGCCGTGAAACCTCCCTCCATATCCCCGAGAACAGCCATGGCAAGCCACATTATTGGAAACCGAAACAGCACCCCTGAGGCTTCGAAGTCGTCCCTTCGTCCTCCGTCTTCATCCCGTACTCTAGGGGGCTCTCATCAACTTCGCGCCTCTGCCGATATGTCCGGCTTCGCCCCACCACTGTCTGCTCGCAATATTTGCCCCGCTTCCGAAGTGTACTTCAACCAACAGTCACAGGGTCAGAATAATGCGGACGATGCACTCGATCGGGCCGCGCAGCAGTGGCTGGCAGACATCGATCAGTATGAGACGACTCTGGAAGAAATGGCTGCCGCCACTTTGGACCAAGATTTCAAGGACGAGCTTAGCGCTATCGAGCAGTGGTTTCGTGTGTTGAGTGAGGCGGAGAGAACCGCCGCTCTCTACGCTCTGCTCCAACAAACCACCCAAGTTCAAATCCGCTTTTTCATCCAGGTATTGCAGCAAATGTCCCAGAGTCATCCGATGTCTAGTGTGTTGTCCCCAGCAACCTTTGGGGAAAAGGGTATGTTTACTTTCCCAAAACTATGGGCTCCTCTAGCCCCCGGATTAGGCACACGCTAACACGGAAAATGTCCAGACGCCATGTCCAACCGTCTAAGTGATGCCATGTCGAAGCTAAACGTAGAAGGGTCTCGCAATTCTCTGGTTCGCCCACCACCTTCTCCTGGTAATAAACGCAACTCAGGACTTGATACATCGACTATCAACGCCATGTTCCCTGACGCAGCAGCCGCTATTGCTAAGAAGAAAGCTGAACTCACCCAACAAACCGGAAATGCTCCCGTGTCGAACCGTAACAGTGCAGTGTTCAGTGGAGACAGGTCTTCACTCGTTGCTCCTACCATTTCTACTACAGATGTTGGCAAGGATAACTTGCCTCAGCCCCCTGCTTCTCCTTGGACTCACCGAGCACCAGAACAACAGGCCCCCATTGCACGGCCCAAATCGTCGTCTGGTCAGCAACAACAGCAACAGCAGCAACAACAGCAGCAGCAGCAGCAGCAGCAGCAGCAACCGATGGGCCAGTTTTCTCAGCCACTTCAGTCTGCTGGCCTTCGTTCTCCGCTTTCGTCAGGTCCTTCTAATATCCAAAGCACCACCATCACTGCTCCAGATCTTATGCCAGAGCCTCCAATTCTTTCTCCATACAATGTGGGAAACGCAAGTTGGGCTTCCATGACAAATACCCCCATGGTTTCGTCTTTTAACCAGCAAAGCCAACCAAACCAGGCTGATATGATTGCCAATGCCACTGCTATGAAACTTGCTGCTTTGTCAACTGTCAATAATCGCATTGCCTTGGATGATGCACGCAAATACCGCCGCACTCGTTCTAATGACAACCAGAACCGTATGCACAACCAGCCCCCTGTCTCCCCTGGCCTCCCAAACACCATTCCCGGAACCAATGTCATAATGGTGAATGACTCTGGCCAAATCCTGAACCCCCAGCAGGTTGCTGCTCTGCAGGCTCAACAGCAAGCTGCCATCAGCGGGCGCCGTTCTCGACCTAATTCTCCTGGACTGGCCCTCCAGGGAACGCCGATACAGATGAACTTTACTTCTCCTCAGAACAATGGGTTCCTTGCTGCATATGACGCTAACGCCTACTTGGGTAACACTCTTGGCGGAATGGGTGTCGGTCAATTCAGTGGCGCTGGCAGTCACGAAGGATACCTGTCTGATCATTCTGAAATCCCCCGTGGTCGTTCTCCACGCGGTCGACGTGGAAGCTCCAAGCCACCAGAAGACCCAACCGACCCAGCTCTCCTTCAAGACATACCCGGATGGCTTCGGTCTCTTCGCTTGCACAAGTATACCGACAACCTCAAGGATCTTAAGTGGACCGAGCTGGTGGAGTTGGACGACAAAGGCTTGGAGGCCCGTGGCGTGAATGCCCTTGGTGCCAGAAACAAGATGCTAAAGGTAACTATCCCGAGCTACCCTATCCGCCCTTCATCCGTGCTTTATGCTAACTATTGTTTTGTTGCAGGTTTTTGAGCAAGTCAAGGAGGCCAAGTCGGAGGGAAAGCTCGACAACATCCTCTGAACCCGCCACACTAGGTTGGAGATGTAGCACTATGTCTGATATAAAAAGGAAAGAAATATGGTTTGTTCCCATTCGGTGATGCCGCAACGAATTTTTATACTCTCTTTTGTCTCGCGATATCTACCTGATTTCACCACGTCTATAATCTGACAAGAGCATGACCGGTACGATTGTGAAAGCTCTTGCGTTATATCATTTTTTGGTGTCTGAATTTCCCCCCCTTTTTTTTTCCCTCCTCTCCCTTTTTAATTATTTTTACACACTTTTCGTTTCGCTTTTCAACCTGGGAAATTGTTCCTATAGCTCCTTATCCGCATGGATAGCAGATGGATATAAGCAGAGTCTACTACCACTGATACAATATCAAGACTCGAGTATAACGTCACTCATAACATCTCGGCTGCTTTTGCCAATAGCCCCAGGCAACAGTTAGGCGTATCATGTAGGCTACCTTCGACCATCTTCGTTCCTTATATAGACGCATTCATACAATCCTTCTTCTATGCCTTCATCTAACCCGTCGCTGTCTCTTCCGACATCTCGTCCTCCTTGCTGACCATCAGCTTGCAGCCATTGGTCAAACCGCCCATCGCCAGCCAAGCCTATGACATAATTCCCGCTGTTTACACGGCCCTCACAGCATTGCTGCTCACAGTGCGAGGACGGCGGTTTAAGTCGAGCTGGAGGCCGAAGAAGACGTCTTCTGGGAGTCACAGATGATCTAGCCAGGTAGATATATCGCATGGTGGAAGAGTCGCCGTAAAAAAAAAGAAGGGAGGACTGCAGGGTTGTGTCTGGCTCTGGCTGCGCAGCGGAAGGGCTCCCTTGTACCATATAAAAAGCATGCCGCATCCTCCATCCCCTCACCATCATCATCTTCTTCTTCTTTGTCGAGTCTTCATCTGGCCCAGGATCCGTACTACCAGGCAGACCGCGACTCTCAGCCGGCCCAGGCCTCTTATCCCGTTGGACAAGCGTATATCTTCAAGACAATTCTCAGACCGAGCTCACTGGCGAGCCTGCTACCTGTCAAGTTCCGTATTCTCCCCCGCATTTCTTTTACAGCTCGTCTTCCCAGGGGAACGGTCCCAGACCCTGATTCTATCATACGTGCCTTTGATTGTCTCCTTACGGATTGAAATATTAACATTGAAGATATTATAGATCGGACCTTCAGCACGGCTATACCTGCACGGTTTCCAACCTCAGCGGCCTCTACCACAATGCCCGAATACAAACTTATCGGTTCCTCGCCCGGCGAGATCAAAAATGGAGACAAGGTCGAGGTACAAGTCGAGGGACTCGAGGGAGTTAAGCTTCTTCTCGTGAAACTTGATGACCAAGTCCATGCCATGACCGCTAAATGTACACATTACGGAGCTCCCCTGGTCAAGGGCGTGCTCTCTCCTGATGCAAGAATAACCTGTCCGTGGCATGGAGGTACGTTGACTCTTTCATTTGTGAAATTACTCTTCCTCGTAAAA